AAATACCTCACCTGATAATCACGTCCCTTGTCCTTCATGACACTCCAAGACGAGGACTTCATAGGCAGCGCTCTTCCTTAGTTTCCTCTTGTGGGTAAACACATTGCTTCATCAGGCTAAATCCCTCACACAACCCACCTCTCTCCTTTAAATCCCTCATGACATTTTTCAGTATTGGTAGCTTAGAGAACACAAAACACAACCATCTAGCACAAGTCATGACACATTTTTCCAGCACGACATGACTAATGATCTTCACTACACGAAGGAGTTTGTCAACTGCAAGGGGGGAGAGTAGCATCAACATATGAACAGAATGTTCTTGGGCTTCGAGGATGTATTTAATATCTTTGTGCATTATTTAAGGTCTCTGTCATGTGTTGCAACATGGGTCAGAAGGATGACTGTGTTGATGCTGGCATGTAAATGGAAATTTTTGGAGACTTGAACCAGGATCTCACCAATGTTAGACAGGGCAGTTAGGCAGTCAACTGCAATCTTAGAAGGGGACTCAACAATACATACACCATTCTGGGTGGGATTAAAGGTAAATCTATCAACTGAACATGATGTTCATGCATGTGTATACCATTATGACATCAAAATATTTTGTCCAAAATAAAATTTTGTTCATATTATTTTTTAAATAGAACGTGGAAAGTGGGAGCAGTAGGTCGAGTGGTGAGGATTACAAGTGTGGTTTCAGCACTATGTACCCTTAGGAAAGATGGGGTAAAAGGTTCAGTTGTAACAATCAAAGATGCAGCCAATCCAGGTGGTGAGTCATAATTAAGGATTTGGGAGATTTTCCTGCCAGGAAAGTGACGGGGGTATGAAGAGGATCAGAACGATGAGTCAATTGTGCCCAGGTCTGGGCCTAATACATCCGGAACAGTGGAGCCTTGTCTTCCATCACAATCTAAATTGGGGCTTGGTCACACATCCCACAACTCTGAGATGGAGAAGGAATGTGTTGAGATGAAAGAAATATATATGCGAGAAACAATAATTGGACTTCAGTGCCTTGCATCCCCACCTACTATTATGGAACCCAACAAGGGAAGGTACAAGCAAATGGGCAACCTCAGGAATAACAAGGAGAGTATATGCAGGTAATCACTGAAAGGCCTGAATTGTATTTCAGAGACTGATTGGTATACTAACCCCACAATGCCCACTTGACCAAATGTCTAACTAAGCATGCTAGCCAGATTAGCCAATTGATTTAGGTGGGCCTCACTGAATCTTGTATTATTCTTATTCCCCCATCAAAGAAGTATGTTGCCCCCTCATACGGGCTGCAGCCACTGGGTAAACATGAAGTCCAGATGAAAGAACAATGGGGAATACACAGATCTCCATGCACAGTGTACACATAGGTAGCAAAGCCATGTGGAATAGTTTGCTTGTGCACTGTCATAGCAGCCAGGAGAGGGGGAACAGAAGCCCCTCTGGCACCTACTTACTGGCAGTGCACAAGACTCCTCCTCTCTCCACATCAAGGAACCACCTGAGGGGGAAAAGATATGAGTAGAATTAAAGTGGCTATATGGATACAAGAATACCACATTGAACAACACTAAATTCATATATATCTTTGACTACACACACTGATTGAACCACCATACTTATTGGCATCACCAAAGATTTCACACTAGCTAAGGAAATTGGATATATTCAAATTATCATTGACAGTACCTTTGCATTTCTCAAGATTCGGTCCTTCACAAAACTCGTTCATAATTTAACAAACTCATTAACTCTGCATATTAAAAAACTGAATTAAATTGAACTAGTACGTCTGTGGTGGCCCAGGATGTTGGTTCAATCCCGCAAACCTGCTTCAAACATTTTTCTATCATGCCAATCAATATTAAAAAGTGAAGAGTATTTCCAGACAGCTGTATGGATTCCAGCTCATTAAAAAATAAAAAAAAGACTGAAATAGATGATAGATTAACACATTCCCACTCTGAAAGATTTTCTCAACGTCATAAAACCAAAATAGCAGAGTACGTGATGACGCTCTTGGCGTCATGCATAAATTTTTGCTTAGTCTTATTATTAAGTATAAACGTTGTAAGTGATAGTGTTTGATATTGGATTATGTGCTCACTGGCAATGCTTGACCTACCTTCTGGTGCGATGTGGATCACCCGTCGAGACAGCAACAGTGTTAACAAAATATGCTACTTAAAAGGAAAATGCTGAAATACGTATACCTAACACTCAAACAATTTGAGGGACAGATTTACCATTTTCTTCAAGATTTGTTCAACAACTGTTTGACCCAACTAAAACTGACTCACAGGACTAATGATCTCTATGACAAAGTAAATGGCATATTTGACTACAGTATATGAGGAACACCTCATATACTGATGCCTCACTTGACATCAGCAAACAATACCGGCTTGACATAGACATGGTTGTGTGTATTATTGGCTATATATATGAACAGCTCCACTCCTGTTGCAACTAAATGATGTTAACTATGTGAACAACTTAATTCCCATATACTACCTTTTTATATTCAAGACCCCATACAAACAACTACAAACCCAAATTATGCAATATATTTTTTGCATTTAATGATTTCATCTACATTGTGCTTAAATTTGTAACCTCATACATACATATATACATCTTTATTGGAGGCAAAACTTCAAGCCTCCACTTACGTTCATATATGATTCTCTCTAATTCTTCCCCTCATGCACGAAGTTTGCAACACTTCTTCATTACCCTCGATTTGACTTCCTTCATAACCCCGTCAATAGGTACTTCTACATACATTTAACAACTTTAGTATACATAAATACATTTACATTTATATGAAATAAGTAAATCACATTAAATCTTGTACATATATGCTTTCCTTGGTGTATATAATCTATGGTAAACTCAAGAATTAAGCAGTGACTACTGTATAAGATAAGAACTACATAGCTATTGGGTGGTGTCTCATACTTAACAAATATGTTTAATAGTGAAATCTTAGGATAATCATTAGTCAGATTACATCATTTAACGTTTAATTTTGTAAGATTTTAAGTGAGGTATATGACAGAAATTAGTTAAATAAATATTCTCTGAAATTTAGTGAGTTTTAATCATTGGACACACATCATTATCTGAATTTTTATTTAATAGACAATAAGTTCACTCAACCTATGACCACTGTGCATCAAAGAATTAATATTTTTTGTATTTTGTTATTATCAATATTATGAATATTTGTTTAACGTACAATACATCAAATTGTTCAGGTGTTTAAAAGTCTGAAGTATATGACATCCGTATGAAAGGCACATGAAGTTACCTTAGAATATTTATATTTTTCTCACAATTTTTAGAACAGCAAAGTACAGCGAATTGGGAAAGTTGCAAAAAGAGCTATAGTATCACAACTTAGCTAGTGTAAAACACAGGGTGTGAAGACTTGCCATATTTAGTTCACCACTCGCCTTACAATATGACACAATACAGATGTTGTTTTGAAGCAATTTTAATGTAATTACCTAAGTGTAGTTACAGGATGAGAGCTACGCTTGTGGTGTCCCGTCTTCCCAGCACTCTTTGTCATACAATACAAAATACATTTGTATGTATTTTATTGTGTATGTGTGTATACATACACACGTGTATGGGTTTGTGTGTGCGTGCATGTGTCTATGTGTGTGTATGTAAAATTGCCTAAGTATTAATACAGGGTGAAGGATATGCTCGTGGTGTCGTCTTCCTAGTACTCTGTCATATGACACTTTGAAACTATTGACAGTTTTGCCACCCACCACTTTCTCACTTAACTTGTTACAGCCTTGTTGGAGAGCCACTGGGTTTTGCAAACCACACTATTTGGAGAGGTGGACTCTCTAAATTTTTGGGGGGGAGAACGTCCATACCCTGAATCTATTACCTCTTGTCGTTGAAGTTATAGGTTTCAAGAATTCTTCTTGTCAATTTTGTTCATTCCTGTTACTATTGTGCATGTAGTGGTCATATCACCTTTTTTCTTGTATCACACGGCATTGGTATATTTAACACCTCTAGCCTCTCCTCGTAGCTCTCGTTTTTCAGTTCTGGACTCCATTTAGTTGCACACGCTTCCCGAGATTTAGTTGCTATGCTTCTTGAGATATGGGTACCATACAACTGCTGTATAATCCAATTTTGGTCTCACAAAGGCAATGAACAATTTCTTTTAATATTTTGCCATCCTTGTATTAAAAGTAATTCTGAAGTTTGAAAGTATAGCATAGGATCCTTGCACATTGTTCGCTAATGTGGTCCTCAGGTGACAGCTTTCTATCTTGAGGTTATCTTGAGATGATTTTGGGACTTAGCGTCCCGGTCCTCGACCAATTGTCCTTTTTTGTTACACACTCCCAGGAAGCAGCCTGTAGCAACTGTCTAACTCCAGGTACCTATTTACTGCTAGGTAAACAGGGCCATCAGGGTGAAAGAAACTCTGCCCATTTGTTTCTACCTGCACCGGGGATCGAACCCGGAACCTCAGGACTACAAATCCAGAACACTGTCCACTCAGCGGTCAGGCCCTTTTGATATCTGGAACCACCCTTAGATACTTTTTTATCTGAATTTTCATGTCTTTTCACAGAATTTGTAGGTTGTGTGAGGCCTATTGTATGTGTGTGTGTGAGAGGGTATAATGTAAGAAATAAAAGCACTAATTATGATGAGGTGAAACTCTGAAATTATGAATATGAATAAATATACAATATCATACCACTAAAAATATACACAAACTTATAACCTACTTTGTTTACATACTAAACTATAAAATTCACAAACCAATTACAATTCAGGAAAGCAAAAATATTTACCAAATCATAATCTTTTAAATTTGTATAAATTATTGGGAATTCTTTAACATAGGTGTTTGTGTCGAGATAGTTTTTTATATAAGTCACAGAGTCAACCCAAGTCATACTCTATTTTTGACATGTTACACAAGGAAGGGGGGGAAACTCATAAACCATATTTATAATGTATATTTATGTATACATTCAATTTAAAATGGAGTTATACATGAAGACATGTAAACCAATGGACATGGTGTCAATTACAGTACTTGGAAAACAACTTATGCTTTCACAAAACGGAAACAAGAGATATCCTCCAAATATCAGCCTTGGCATATTGTACTAATTATACAGTCTAGATGCCACTTTTGCCTTGAAGTCTTTTAGCAATAATAGAACTTTGATGCATTATTGTAGAGTACATAACTAGGTAAGTGTATCACAAGCCGATAATATACTAAAATGATACTGGGGTAATCCAGCACATTTACACAATCAGTAGTGGGATTACTTTAGAAATGGTGTTGCAATCAACAACAATTGCAATGCATCAAAAATTACCCACCATAAAATACCACAATATACCTGAATAACATTAGAAGTATATGATAGCAAAGTTTCTAATGATGAGAGATTCAAAATGCTATTCAGAGTGAGGTGCAACATAATAAAAGCAACTACAGTACATTATCTCTCAAAGATTGGCTTACTGTTCTGTGGTCTAAAATACCGAATATAATTTTACAACAATACAACTGCACGTTTACAACAACAATACAGTTCACTAAAGGCTTAATACATACTTGGGAATGGCTTTAAAACCAATTTGGGTAAATAATTACACAATAAAAACTTTATATTTCTTTTTACAAATTGCACAAAGCACTTCAATAAATTACTGACAAATTTGAATATGATCATCATTCCATTTCCCAGGTTTACTGGATAGGAGGCACTTGCCATTCATCTGAACATAATGCTAATTATTATTAGTTCCTAACATACTGTACATGACTGTTTTCTAATTTTTCACCAAGTTTTTATCCTGTCTTTCAATTTCTTTAGCTTTGTCTTCAGAAGCAGCTGGAGTTGACCCAGGTGGTACTGAAGTCTTTGGAGCAATCCATTTAAGTTTAGCTCCCATGGGAACTGTTGGATGGGTGTAGGGGCAGTTGGCTTGTGTACACGATATTCCATAGAAGCAGGCCTGCAAAACATTGTAAATGCATCAAATTAATCTTATAACTCTAAAAAAAATCAGCATTGAATGTAATGAAACAGCATTTTCTGGGTGAGCCCCATCAGCTCTCTGAAGCTATTCGAACTGGTATGTGCTATATTAGTTTGTGGTCATCAGTCACAGGAGTTCTTATGCCTACTGGGAACCATGAGACAAAACCTGTTCTCCTCAGAGAGGCATAGGGAGCAATGGCCTATGAGCACTTTACATTTAAAGTATGCCATAATTGTCATCGACTGGGGAAGGACCCAGAAAGGTAGCTGAATCAAAACAGACCACTGGTTAACTTGTACAATCTACATCTCAAAAGATCAAAATAACTCCCCCTAGAAAGAAACCAAGCAAGCAACCCTTCATGTGACTAGCACTTCCGCTCGTTAGCGCTAACACAAGGGAAAGGGGGCTCACCGGAGTAGGCAGCCCACCACTCCAGTTCTTGAATGATGAAAAACTGCTGACCGGAGGGAGGGAGGGTGTCAGGGAGCCTCCGGGGCTCACCCAGAAAATGGCGTTTCATTACAATCAACATTGTTTTTTTTGTGGGTAGCCCTGGCAGCTCCCTGAAGCTAACTACCCAAAGATAAGGAAAAGGAGGGACTTACTCGGAAGGCAGCAGCACCGCAGGCCTCAAGACGAGAAGAGACAGATGGCCGCGACAGGTGCCAGGGAAACCAGGGACACCGGATCCACCCAAAGAGCGTCCACTGTCACAGAACCAGTCGCCTGCAGGTAGCGGCGTAAAGCTGCCACCAGACAACACATAATGCACCCCCGGTCTAACCAACCATGCACTCACAAACAGTGAATTCCCCTGGAAGCCTGCCATTTCATTCTTCGTCAGTAAAATAGGAGAAGGCTGCAAACGAACAAAATGACCACCTGGACCAGATGAACAGATGCCCCCGGCATCAGAGGAGAGCATGAAGCTCCCCAACCCAACCCCCAGAGGCCAAGGCCAATAAAAACAAGGCCCAACAAAAACAAGGCCTTCCAAAAGCAATCTCTAACCGTAGGGGGCCACAAGAAAGCGAGGAGAAGAAAGAAAACAAAGAACACAGTCGAAAAACCAAGAAGGCTCAGGTGGCGCATGAGCAGAGCCCATAGGGTGAATCAGCCTTACAGGAAGCGCTTGTACTGGGGCCAGCTAAGCCGATGGAACCCTGTCAGGTAGCAGGCAAACTGACCACCAGTAGCAGCTGTGAAACCTCGGGGCAACAGAGAAGGACTACCAACACAACCTAAGCTTGCCTAATAAAAAGCTAAGTAGACCTCCTCTGTCTAAACAAGGTGAGAATGCCATTGAACGAAAAGAATTTGATTTACACAAGTCAGAAATTACACATATTTTTCATGAATGTCATCCCTGTGTAAAGCAAGGACCACTTGTACAGTATTTTATCAATAACTATACAGAGTAATGGCTAAATCTACTATGTAATTACTCATCATTATAAATACTCACCTGATTAAAAATTTACTATTAGTTTGTTACTGTATATGCTTACCTTCGGATGAAAGAATGAACAAGACATGTTGGTACACTTTGGGAAAAATTTGCACTTCACTTTTGTTGGTCTGATTTGGGGTACAATTTTGTGCTTCTGAGTCACTGCAGCTGTTTAAAGAAATAAAATGTCCTTCTCATATATGTATATATATATATATATTTATTTATTTATTTATTTTTACACAGTATGTAACACACAACGATCACTTAAACACTAATCCAAGTATGCGGAAAAACCACATTGAAAAATCAGAAAATGCTGAATGTGTTTTCGGTCCGCATGTGGGCCTTCTTGAGTGCAAGAAAGAGTCTTTTTTCTTGTTCTGAGGAAGGCCCACACACGGACCGAAAACACGTTCAACATTATCTAATTTTCAATGTGGCTTTTTCGCACATACACAGAATATTCATAAAACCAGCATTGAATGTAATGAAACACCATTTTCTGGGTGAGACCCGGAGGCTCTCCGGAGCTACCCAGGCTGATAAGGATATATTAGACTTTGGCATCAGTCAATGTGCATGGAGTTCTAGGCCTACCGGGGACCACGAGCCAGGATCTGTTTCCCTCAGAGGCATGAGGAGTAATGGCCTATATAAACCCCTGTGTGGTTGGAAGCATTCTATGTCTGCAATCGACCGAGTCAGGCACCCAGAAAGGTAAGCGCCACAAAACAAACCTCTATTTTGGTTAAAATATTGCTACCGAAAGCCGAACTAGTTGACAGAACTCCCCAAATGAAAACTACCACTGCCTCGCCACTGTCTGTGCAACCCTCCTCTCCCCCCTAGGAAGGGAAAAAGGGAGAGCCCCAGACCTTCACGCAGGCTATGCACCCGGCAGTTCTGAGGCTGGATGTCAAATCACATGAAAAAAATAACTGCTGACCAAAGGGAGTGAGGGTTGCTGGGGAGCCTCCAGGTCTCATCCAGAAAATGGTGTTCATTACATTCAACGCTGGTATTCTGGGGGAAGCTCCTGCGGCTCCCTGGAGCTACTTACCCAAAGACAAATCAAACAAGAAGGAGTGTTATGACCCTGGGTTCCTTAGTGGAAACAAGAGGTCAAATTGAGCTCTAAATAATTACTTTACATTAATTGATAGGACTGCTGATGCGCCTTTGTTCCTGTCTTCCTTGCCAGACATAAGACGAATCTTGTTTCTCACAGAGCATTCAGACTCTGAGCTTGTTGTTGATTGTTAAATAGTGAACTAGTTATCAGCTATTCTTAGAACTACTGTAACCACGCGATTATCCGGGCATTTGAACATCCGGAAAACGCCCTTATACGGCCAAAATCGTGAACGGATAAAGTTATCTCAATATCCGGCCAAAATGGCCATGGGAGCCGGATAAAAGCTGGTTTAGCTGGATAAAAATTCAACCGTACCATATTAATCCAGTCTGCCTGTGGCTCTAGATGCATGGTGGAGGAGGGGGTGGGGTGGGCGGGTGGTGTTGGGAGGGTGGGAGGGGAACGTCGGGAGGGACCATCTGGGTACAGGAATTACCATTAATTTTTGAACAATTAATCATAGCCAAAAATAAATGAAATAAGTACTAGTAATTATGTAATAACAAATAAATAAGTTTCCTAAAAGCAATGTGCATAGGCTGAAGTTTCCTTAAAAAATATTGATTTTTTTCCTCCTGGCGGCATCCGTAACATGCTATAGCTGCCCCAAGTGGACCTGTCCAACACTGGTCAACCCATGTGCTCTCGTCCCTCGTGTTATACCACAGTGCTGCGCCATTAGTGAAATATTTTTTTAAATAACTTTTTTATTTTCATAGTAACTTTGAAACATTTTTGGCCAAGACTATGTCTGGTAGCAGCATCAATCGTTCTGGAGGTGTTAAGAGGATGAAGGTTGTCTTAGCAATTAAAGACAAGTTACATGTTGTTCAACCAGTGAGGCATCACAGGCAGCCAAATGCCTTCAACAAGTGAGGCTTCATTGGCAAGCCAAGCGCCTTCAACAAGTGAGGCTTCATAGGCAAGTCAAGCGCCTTTAACAAGTGAGGTGCAAGCAAGCGCCTTCAAGAAGTGAGGCGTCACAGGCAAGCCAAGCGCCTTCAACAAGTGAGGCCTCACAGGCAACCCAAATGCCTTCAACCAGTGAGGCTTCAGCAGTTCGCTGTCAAAACTAACTTTGCTTAATGAACTGGACAGTAATTTTAAGTGTTAATTTTAGTGTTGTGTTAATATAGGTTACGTAAATTGTTAAGAATTCTTAACTTCAAGATGTGTGGCATCAATCAAGAAGACGAACACCAACAAGGTAAGTTGAGGTTTCTAGTTGAATATTTAATAATTATATGTGGCAAGGCAATTCAAATTATGTTGTTTGTAGTATAAAAATAGTTGGAAATGGTCACTTTTGAACTTGTAGGTGAAAAAGCACCATTATCCGAAAAATTTGATAATCCGGCTGAGGGTCCTTCCCATATAGTCCGGATGATTGAGTGGAGACAGTAGTAAAGTAACGAGTAACGAAGGCCGGGGAAGACTTGTATTGTTTGTAGCTGCACGATCAGTTAGGTTATCCTCCCGGCAACAACAACAATAACTTGGGAGCTCGGAGACTGGAGGCTGATGTGCTCTGTTTCCTGTCTGGCTGTGGTTGTGGCAACATCTTCCCTGTGGGGCTCTGTCTCCGTTCTCCTCCTCCTTCTCCCTTTCCCTTACCTTAGTCTATGGTGATTCTCCAAGTTAAATATAACCTGTGTAACCGGTCTCTGGCAAAAGTTGTAGTTATTGTGTAGTATAAGCCAATGTTTTGGGCATCCCTAAGTGTTTGTGTTGTGACTAGGGTACCGCGTGGGGCTTAACTACCACAAGCTGCTTAAAGCCTTTGAGCTCTTTTCAAGTAGACTTTACCCTAACTTGTCCCAAGTGTAAGCCTTGTATCCTGTCTATGTGGACCAAGGTAGTTAACGTAAGATAGTGTGGTAAAGTAGTTATTGTTATTAATGTATATGGGGGGTTATGAGAGGGTTAATAAATAAGTACTGTGAAAGGAGTATCCATTCTTCCTGTGAAGGAGATCAGTGATCAACCGCTAGTCTGACGTATTTACTTCAAGCCACTAATTTAATATTGTTTTATGTTCTTATTGGGGGCCAGGCCTATCTGATCTCCACTGATTTTAGTAACTCCTAGTTTTTCCCTTAGACCCTCTCTAGACCACCTTCCCATAGCAGTAACAAACTCATAACAGGGAGTTACCCGGGATGTGGTCGGCTCTTGCTCCTCAACACGAAGTCAAGACAACTGGCTGCAACCGCTGACCCAAAGCGACACAGGCCCGACTGGGCCCAGGAACATTAACAAGGTAGTGAGCAGCCAGGACACTGTTCAACCTCCAAAAACACCGTAACCGAATGTCAACCCAAGAAATGTTGCCGAAGATGCCAGCCAAAGCAGCAAACTTACGAACTTCGTGGGCACAAAAAACAAATCGCAGGCTGGCTGGACCGAATAATCCTGCAGACGGCATGAGAGACCCGTACCCTAGAACAGGCAAGAAGGGAAACCGGGTCAACTCAAAGTGTGTCCCCGGCCACCGAAGCCGTGGCGCATGGATAACAGTGGAGTCGCAACCGGACACAACACACGATGCACCCCTCCAGCCTGACCAACCAGGCATCAACAACCCAAGAACCTCTCCGGAAAGCAGCAAACTCATTCTTCACCAGAAAAAAAGGAGACGGCTGCAAACGAACAAACCTATCACCAGGACCAAAAGAGCAGAAACCCCTGCGCTGGAGGAGAGCATGAAGCTCCCTGACCTGACTCCCAGAAGCCAACGCCAACAGGAAAAAGAACATTAGAAGAACAATCCTGAATCAAAAGGGCCACTACAAACTAAGGAAAAGAGAAAAAAAAGAGAGCACCCGGTCCAACGACCAGGACGGCTCAGGCGGAGCATGAGCAGGCCAGAGGTGAAACAGCGCACAAGACAGCTTGCAGAACGGAGCAAAAGTAACGTCAACACCGAAATCAAGCTGCAGCGGCTCTGCTAGCACCGCACCATACGAGGCAGCAGTATTCGGCCTAAGATGATGGTCCTGGAACAACCAGGAAAGAAAGGACAAGACAACCCTTTAGAGACCGAAGTACACCTATGCAGAGACAGGAAATAATGGAAGGCCTGCCAGGAAACTTCATATTGCCGCTGAGACGAAGCACGCAGGTATGACACCATCAACGAAGCCACCTGCACACTATACAAGTGATGATAGACTCGAGTCAGAAAACCCAGATGTGAAGACTCAAGGAGAAGAGCAAACCAGCCTCATACCGGGCTGGACCGATCTGATGAAAGAGGCGGAGCCGCGGGAAGACCCTCGGGTTCGGACATCGAGCAAACAGCGCCTGAAACCAAGGCTGGGCCAGCCACTAAGGAGTCAGAAGAACAATTTGCTCCTGGTAAGAAAAGTATTCTGGAGCCGGCTCAAAGACCCCCCGAAAGCCGAACCCAACGATTGCGAGAGAGGCGGAAGGGACATCCATGAAGGAACCAGAACAGCTGACGAAGCCAAACCCGACTCGGTGGGTAGACCATCATAGAAAAGTTTACGCTCCCGCACAAACCCTCGAGCAATCATCTTGTGACCCGGGAGCCCCCAGAAACAGGCAAAGACAGGACTGCAGCCAAAGCAGAGTCTCCGGAGAAAGAGACAAGGAAGCGGTCCGAGCATCCCACACAAGACCCAGTCAAGACCGAACCTGAGAGGGAACCAGATGGGACTTCCTCCAGTTTACCAGGAACCCGAACCCTGATGAGCTGGGAAAGAACCAAATCCCTGGCGAGCAGACATGTGGACTGGCTGGGAGCCCCTACCAGCCAGTCGTCGAGGTAGGCCAGAACCCGAACCCCTAAAAGACGCAGACTCCCCCGAAACTGCCCGAGTCTCAACACCAATTAAATCTTGCCTTGACTATGAAGCCCTCAGACGCTTCAGAACTGGAAGCAAGGGGAGGACCAGGACGCACAACAGAAGGGGAAGGGCAAGAGGTGCGGATGGAATCAAAATCGAGGCGACTAACACCTCCAAGTCTGGGTCCCTATAACCAAAGCTGGGCAGTCTTGGGGCATCTGGGGTAGCAACCAACCTAGCGCGCTGCAGCATCCTAAATCGAGCACGCAACGCGGAAGCTGCCTGCACCTGCACATCATGATCATCAGTCTGGGTGAACTGGAGTACAAACAAATAAGAAAACTCGCAAGACTCCGGGACGAATGTGTCATTGACTCAACAGGCTGCATGACAGAGGCACACCCGGTGGGGACTGAAACAAGAGGACAGAGCAACCTTCAAACTTGCACGAAGCGAGAGGGGATCCAGGGATCGCATCCATTGGACCACAGAGCCCTCGCAGGGTTTCCCAGGGCTCTTAATTGAGGTACTGTATTCTGCTAAGGGAAGCCTAGGCAGGGTACTGCTAACCGGCACCCAAAACTACTGAGCAAACTGCTAAAGCTGAACCCCTGGGACGTGTACACTTGTGGGTGCCTAGCAGAGGACCACCAAATTACAATAGGCGTGATCAATCTAAAGCAGACCCCCCGACCAGGCAGGAAAAACAAAAATAAAAGAAAACGCCGCAAGAGGACAACGTACCCAGACGGAACAGAGCCGGCTGCTATGAGAGGTGATAACTAGCTGCATGGCACTCTGTGCCCCAACCAGTGACAAAAACTACCCCTTCTACCCAAAGGCAAACAAGGGAACATAGGAACCCAAGCTGACTCCTGCTTGATACCTGCTTGATGGGGTTCTGGGAGTTCTTCTACTCCCCAATCCCGGCCCGAGGCCAGGCTTGACTTATGAGAGTTTGATCCACCAGGCTGTTGCTTGGAGCAGCCCTCAGGCCCACATACCCATCACTGCCCGGGTCTTCAAGGAGTGCCGGTTGGTCTGGCACTCCTTGAAGAAAACAATCTAGTTTTCTCTTGAAGATGTCCACGGTTGTTCCGGCAATATTTCTGATGCTCGTTGGGGCAAGCAAGGAGCTCCAAGGGCGGTCAATCACCGAGCAGTAAAAGACACAGCAGAGGTAGACCCCAAGGTGACTTGTGGAAGGTGGCCCCATGCCCCAAGGGCAGTACTTACAGGGCATCTAGGGAAGGTAACCCTAGGTGCATGCAGCCCGAGTACTGAAGAATACTCCTGGCTCGCACACTCCCGTAGAGACAGCACCACACCACAAAGGCACAGAACTGGAACAATGCTGGAACCAGAGACACATAACCTTTGCCAAGCACATCCGCCAAAGAACTGCAGGGTGGATAGCCAGCGTGAGGGTCTAGGGCTTCCCCTTCCCGGGAAATGGGGGGGGGGGAGTGAAGGCACAGACAGCTGCGTAGTGATGTGGTGACGCCATGCTAGTTGCTAGTTTTCACTTGGGGAGTTCTGTCCACTAGTTTGGCTTTCGGTAGCAATATTTTAACCAGACTAGGGATTTGTTTTGGGAACACAGATATAGTACAATATTAGGAGAATTTTAAAATGAAATATGCATACATATTTTTTCCCCTAAAACTTACCTGATGCAAGAGCCAAGTTTCGAGAGCTGGCATGAGTGTATGGGCAGCCAATACGGGTACATGCTCCATCAAATAAACAGTTAGGATGAATGTAGAGGCATTTATCACCAAACTTACAGGATGGAAAGGACCTGAAAAAAAATCATATAATTTAAGAAGGGAAAATATGTCAGCCATCTCACTACTCAAACTTTACTGACATCAAAATACTCATGTGATGAGATACAAAATAATGTACTAAGGATTACTCAGACATTTTTATTCTTTCAAAAATGAAAAAAAAATACAGAAGATATACTATATAGATATTAGCTATACATGCTATTTTTCTACCCTTTGATATAAGATATTTTTGGGTCACATTGAGACACAAAATTAACTTTCTAATATAAATAATAACCTTACATCATTAAACTGCTTGTGAACATTTACAGATGGCAGGGCCCACAACACAAACATCCAACCCCTCAACGTGCATAGACAAATCTCGTGCAATCAACAGAAATACAACTAAGGCCAGGGTGAAGTTCATTCTTTACTTTCCCTAGGGGTCATTGAGGGTGGTTCCCTTATTAGGGGCATCTTTCATTTATTCCTGTATTAAGATAACTTTTGTTTCCTGGTCCAAGCTCAACAATCATTTTCTTCCTCCCTGTGCATCATGGAGGGATGGGTAGTTTGTTGCTAGAAGAGGCTGTCGGGTTTTATTTCAATTTCAGGTATCAGTGCCATTGTCAGTTATCACTTCCCTTCAGATTAAAGGGTATTTGTGTGCCTGAGATTTATGTTGCCTCGCTATGTTTACTGCCAATTGGGTGGGCTTTGCACTTCTGTTTCTTTTGGTTTCGCGTAATGTATTTAGTTTTGTCCCTTACGCTTTCTTATGACCCCATGAGCTTGTGGGTATATTATGTGAGTAAAGTGTATTCTGAGCCTCTGCTTTTCAGAAACATACCCATCATATGGCTGGGGCTCTAGGGTACCTGTTAACCAAACGAGTTCTGCTCACATGCCTTTGGGGGTGTCTGGCAGGTTTCACCTACCTTTTACTGTTCTCACTGTGGCTGCAAAAGTATTTCTTGGTTGGGGCTGCTATGTTTGCCCTAGCCTTCTTAGTTTTGGGTAGTTCTTTCCTACGTGGCTCTGCACCTCAGTGCATGTAGTGTTAGTCTAAAGGATGCCTTGCCCACCATTTTTGTCCTGTGACACACTGTGGGATCTCCTGGTCTGGTACTAGTTCACCTGCTTGCCATACCAATGGGCTGGTGTTTACAATATGCCAGGTTGTGGCAGGACGTGTGTATTTGTTTATCCATTTAGCAGTATTAGGTCTTCATTTTCCAGTGTTTGTTTCTCATTTAATTTGGCTGGCCCTCTGGTTACCTCCTCCATATTCATTTCATGTTTTTTCCTGGTTTACTTAACTCATTTCCTTTGCCTTTTAGCAGCACTTGGTTTGTTCTGTTCCTCTGTGCAGTTTTTCTTCTAAGTCACTTATGTTTACCACTGACCTGCATCACACTGATACTTTGGTTCTGCTGGATTGGCTTTTCTCATTCTTAAATGTTGTGGCACTGGCTGTTGCACCTCTTCATGCTCATTCTCATTTTTCTGCCTGTTCTGTTAGGAGACATCATTTGTTTCATTTGTGGCTTCCTATGTTATGTCCTCCTTGGCTAGGCTGATAGCTGGCTAAATATTATTTTGCTCAGTTTGTCTCACGAGTACCTTCAGACTTCCAATTTGGTGGCTTGGTGTTTAGTTCAGCGCCTACCTGTTGAACATGTTCATCTGCCTTGGTCATAGGGATTTGTTGACTGATTGCTTCCATGTTCTATTGTTTAATCTTGTTTTCAAAGGCAAGTGAACTTGTAAGTCTTGCTCAATCCCATTGGCCATCTGGTCAACTCTGGCCAGGTTGACACCCTTGTGTCCTGACCCATACTTACTACCCCTTCTCCTACCTTCATGATTCAACTGCTGAGTGTGCATTTAGATGCACTGCTTTTCTGCATGGTATGATTTTATGTCTCATCTTTATTCAATGTGTCACCATTTGTGGCTGTCTTTCAGATCAGATGCTCGAACCTTTGAGGATCCATTTTCCTGTGTCTTCCGCAGTTCGGATAAGTGTTCCCTAGTATGTTCTGTCCTTCCTTCTGTCACTCTGGCCATGGAAAATCATGCCTAAGGGAACAGCCAAGTGTTTAGGTTAAAAAAATAAGGCAGCGTAGATGAAAAGCTACTGTCTGATGGAGCCACTCTGCCTCTCCATGTCCACTCATTTTTTCATAACGTACTCTACTTCCATGAAGTTATGCTGGGATGAGTGTGAGGCAGAAACCCCATGTCCCTCTGTTGACAGGCCTAGCTGTAACATTGGGTGGTAGGCTGAGGTAATAACCACATAGTCAACTACAGTAGAAATTTATCATAGTGACATTTGCCAGTAATGTATTTCTAAAGCCAAGTACTGCTTAGAGGATATGATTTGAATATAGATAAATGAGCCTTCTTATGGTCAGTCAGGGCTGAACTCAAAATTCTCTAGTAGCTCCCTTTCTCTATTAATGGCCTGGGCTTAGTTGGGACTGTGTGAAAAGATAGCCACTATATCTGGGATAAGAAAGTACTGTACCAATATGTGACTGAAATTTAAATGTTTTGGAAAAATTAGAACATTGGTTAAGTGACCAAGAGACTTGCTCAGAAAGGAACTTTTATCTAAACTCAGTCTCCTTTTTTACCAGCAACAATAAGTATGTATAACTACCTAAAAATTAAAAACCTTAGTGGAATTGAATTCTTTTCTTTTAAATTTGTAACATTTCAGAAACCATAAACAATATCTTAATGCATACAAAAAGGAATGAGAACAACAATACTAACTTGCATGTGACAGTAGGGTGATGATAAGGACAAGATTCTCCAGCTTTGCATAATGGCCAGAACTTGCAGCGCTCTTTGGTGCCTCCTGTAAAGAAAACACCAGAGGTGCTTAGTATAACAGGTGCATACAGTATAACTATATACTGTATGCTATTTAACATACAGTATACAGTTATGCTTACATACTATGCTTAGCATACAGTATATAGTTATATTGTATGCTATATATGGCTACGAATGTCAATGTAAAGAGCTAAAAAACATGCTTTGAATGTAATGAAACGCCATTTTCTGGGTAGAGCCCCAGAGGCTCCCTGGAGCTAATGGAGTGATATTAGCTAATATTAGTATGGGGCTTTAGTCATATGGAGGTGTCATGCTTACTGAGGACCACTAACCAGAACATAGTCCCTCAGAGAGGTGCAGGGAATAATGGCCTGGAATTATGAAACTCATGTACACTGTATGAAAGTAATCATGTTTGCCATCGACTGGGGTTGAGCACCCAGAAAGATAGGCACTCCAAAACAGATCCCACCTGGTAGAAAAATTGCAACCTGAGACATTACAGAGGATAGAAACTCTCCCAAGGCAAACAAGCTAACAGGCAATATGTCATCACATTCGTGGCGCTCATTCGCGCCAACCCCACTTTACTTTTCCGGGAGGAAGAGAAGGGCGGTCCCAGAAGCCAACCGTCAGTTTGGAGGTTGAAAAACAGAAACAAAAACCGGCGACTGATGGGGACTAAAGCATCTGCACATAAAGCTCCCCAACCCGATTCCCAGAAGGATAAGCCAACAAGAACAATACCTTCTGGAAACAGTCTTAAGACCGAAGGGGCCACCACAAACTGTAAAGAGAGAAAGAAGAACACTAAGTCCAAAGATCAAGATGGTTCAGGCGGTGCATGAGCAGGTCAGAGGTGGAAAAAAGCACGAGAAAGCTTGCGAAATGGAGCCGAAGTGACATCCACCCCAAACGCAAACTGGAATGGCTCCACCAGTGCCGCACGATACGAGGCAACAGTATGAATTCGGCATTAAATGCCTGTCCTGAAAGAGCCAAGAAAGAAAAACTAACATGATCCTATCGATCATGTAACGATCAATATTATTGGTTCCGGCACATTTGCTGCAATGCCATTAGTCACCTGGTAGACCTGGTGTTTCTGACCCGAGGAAGCTTGCAACCCTTACAAGAGTATTCTCGTGAGGAACTCTGTACGTGTTTAACAGGTCCTTCTGTCTATCAGCCAATAGACAGAACACACTATTCCTCACCGTCAAATTAAACTCTGCATTCTGCTCGATATGCCAGCGCTCTCCTGGAATTGCGATCATGACTATATTGTTTAGAAATCATCTAGAGTGACAAAGTCTGTGAATTACCAGAGCGAAACAGACTGGTATCAGGTAAACCCTGGTGACAAATTGAGATAGTATGTGAGTGATCTAGAGTGAACTAAGGAAGTGCCGCTGCTTAAGTACTTTGTGTGAACTTAAACACAGGCACCTGCATGGTGTAATAATTTAGCTACCGCTGCTGCTACTCAGTCTACAGTGTGTAGCAGCTTCCAAGCCACCACTTGCCCTGCCTCACTGTACTATGTGACGTCACTGCCCATCACCACCTTATTCACTGCCAGTGCTATCATGGGTGTGTGTCTCTTTTAGACATACAGCACACCCTGTTGAGAGTACCCCACCGTGTAAAGCATGGTAGTGTGGGAAAACCTGTCATCAGTGTTCTCACATCGTAATGAGTGAAACCAGCTGTCAGGCCACCTACGAGGTCTTGCATAAATGTGCATGAGTGAGTGAATGGGAGAGGTAGCCATACCTGTAAGTACAAGATCTTGTTTCTTTATTATTGTGTCTGTCTGTCTGTGTGTTGATCTGAGTGGTCAACCACAGTTCTCACCTTATACCTGACACTGGTATAGGTGGAGACCTAGACACCCGACAGTGTATACTGTTTATCTGTGTGGTACCATGACATTACACTCGTCTGTGAATGCGAGTTTCACATACACCACACACTTAGTTATTGTGTGACATAATTATTGTGCATGATTATTGCCTGTCCCACTGACAGTGCCATTGTTGATTTATTGTGCATCATCATTACCAGAGTATCCTGTTGGAACTCCGGTGACCTTTTGCACACCGGCAGTTAGGTTTGCCGTGTTAATGATTGGCTGTTAATTGTTTTAACACTTTCGCACTTTGGGGGAGCAAGCACGTCACCTTGCCTAGTGGTTTTGTGCATTCCATGGGAGCGCGCGGTAATACTGAAAAGTGTATACAGAGCGCCACTTGGTTTCCGAACTTTAGTTATCCAAAACTTCCAATTTCCCGATTGAGGTTGGGGAGTCATGCTATACGAACAAAGTTTGGGAAGAAAGGGATCTTCCAAGCCTTGTGCTGGACCGTGGTGGTGGGTGGTGGGAGATGGTCCAATTTGCCCACTGACCGTGTCAGGCACCACCACTCCACAGATTCATGGCCTTCAGTGACTTCACAGATTCATGGCCTTCAGTGACTTCACAGATTCATGGCCTTCAGTGACTTCACAGATTCATGGCCTATTATTGATATTATTTTGATTTGTCACAAGGCTGGAGTGTTCATTCTGTGATTTTATTTTACATAACTGCACAATCAAGGAACATCTGTGCACCATGTCGGCTCCAAATACATGCATTACGTCAGTGATGGCTGACTGGTGGGTGGATGGATGGGGGAGCTTAGGTGGGAGGCAGTATGAGAGAGAGGGAGAGAATTAGTGAGAATGAGAGGTAGGGGAGAGATGCTAGGAGGTAAGCAGGAAGGTAGGCAGGAAGGCAGGAAGGCAGGCAGGCAGGCAGGCTGGCAGGCTGGCAGGCTGGCAGGCTGGCAGGCTGGCAGGCTGGCAGGCTGGCAGGCTGGCAGGCTGGCAGGCTGGCAGGCTGGCAGGCTGGCAGGCTGGCTGGCTGGCTGGCTGGCTGGCTGGCTGGCTGGCTGGCTGGCTGGCTGGCTGGCTGGCTGGCTGGCTGGCTGGCTGGCTGGGTGGCTGGCTGGCTGGCTGCTGCTGGCTGGCTGGCTGGCTGGCTGGCTGGCTGGCTGGCTGGCTGCTGGCTGGCTGGCTGGCTGGCTGGCTGGCTGGCTGGCTGGCTGGCTGGCTGGCTGGCTGGCTGGCTGGCTGGCTGGCTGGCTGGCTGGCTGGCTGGCTGGCTGGCTGGCTGGCTGCTGGCTGGCTGGCTGGGCTGGCTGGCTGGCTGGCTGGCTGGCTGGCTGGCTGGCTGGCTGGCTGGCTGGCTGGCTGGCTGGCTGGCTGGCTGGCTGCTGGCTGGCTGGCTGGCTGGCTGGCTGGCTGGCTGGCTGGCTGGCTGGCTGGCTGGCTGGCTGGCTGGCTGGCTGGCTGGCTGGCTGGCTGGCTGGCTGGCTGGCTGGCTGGCTGGCTGGCTGGCTGGCTGGCTGGCTGGCTGGCTGGCTGGCTGGCTGGCTGGCTGGCTGGCTGGCTGGCTGGCTGGCTGGCTGGCTGGCTGGCTGGCTGGCTGGCTGGCTGGCTGGCTGGCTGGCTGGCTGGCTGGCTGGCTGGCTGGCTGGCTGGCTGGCTGGCTGGCTGGCTGGCTGGCTGGCTGGCTGGCTGGCTGGCTGCTGGCTGGCTGGCTGGCTGGCTGGCTGGCTGGCTGGCTGGCTGGCTGGCTGGCTGGCTGGCTGGCTGGCTGGCTGGCTGGCTGGCTGGCTGGCTGGCTGCTGCTGGCTGGCTGGCTGGCTGGCTGGCTGGCTGGCTGGCTGGCTGGCTGGCTGGCTGGCTGGCTGGCTGGCTGGCTGGCTGGCTGGCTGGCTGGCTGGCTGGCTGGCTGGCTGGCTGGCTGGCTGGCTGGCTGGCTGGCTGGCTGGCTGGCTGGCTGGCTGGCTGGCTGCTGGCTGGCTGGCTGGCTGGCTGGCTGGCTGGCTGGCTGGCTGGCTGGCTGGCTGGCTGGCTGGCTGGCTGGCTGGCTGGCTGGCTGGCTGGCTGGCTGGCTGGCTGGCTGGCTGGCTGGCTGGCTGGCTGGCTGGCTGGCTGGCTGGCTGGCTGGCTGGCTGGCTGGCTGGCTGGCTGGCTGGCTGGCTGGCTGGCTGCTGGCTGGGCTGGCTGGCTGGCTGGCTGGCTGGCTGGCTGGCTGGCTGGCTGGCTGGCTGGCTGGCTGGCTGGCTGGCTGGCTGGCTGGCTGGCTGGCTGGCTGGCTGGCTGGCTGGCTGGCTGGCTGGCTGCTGGCTGGCTGGCTGGCTGGCTGGCTGGCTGGCTGGCTGGCTGGCTGGCTGGCTGGCTGGCTGGCTGGCTGGCTGGCTGGCTGGCTGGCTGGCTGGCTGGGTGGGTGGGTGGGTTTGGGTGCTGGCAGGCAGGCAGGCAGGCTGGCAGGCTGGCTGGCTGGCAGGATGTTCCTGCAGGCTAGCAGGCTGGCTGGGTGGCAGGCTGGCTGGCAGGCTGGCTGGCAGGCTGGCTGGCAGGCTGACTAGCAGGCTGGCTGGCAGGCTGGCTGGCTGGCAGGATGTTCCTGCAGGCTGGCAGGAAACATCCAGGGGATGTATGCCAGACATCTTAATAATCAGCTAGGAACAATTAAGGACTCTTATAAAGCGGATCAGGACTTCACTTATTGGCGAGTACAAACAAAGTAAGGTCGCATTTATGTTATGAACCTGTCGATTTTACCCCCTAGAGTTTGTCATAAATTTTTCGGAACATTTTCTTTTTACATTTTTAGTTTATTTTTTCCCTCTATTTCTTATTTACGAACTTACATGATAACTGACGGGTCTCGTCCCCAGGTGGTTCGGAAACCAAGTGGTGCTCTGTACTCTTTTCAACTTTGTCACTTTAATTCTTGTCCTAGGTTTTTCAATTTTGTATCAATGTGAACAGTACTAGCGATTCGTCGATAACCACATTCTGTCAAGGTATAAAATAATCCCTGAACTTCTCTCTCATGTCACTGAACACCTTCCACAGTCTGTTGTTTCTGATCTCATTTGCAATATTCTCGAAATGCAGTCACCTGAGAATCAAGAGGAACCTATCACGCGACATATACTGGTTGAACATGGGCGATGGAACTAGACTGGCTTTGGTCCAATAATCCTGAACGATAGCTTTCTTGGAGTGCTTCATCATCATGCCGAGTGCCAAAAACACATACATTTCGTCAACTGTCATGTCCTCCCATTGCGTGAGGTGTGAGGCAGGTAAAATGCCGGCATCTATGAGGCTGTGAACGAATCCGTTTGTCTCAGTCACAAGATGCGTCATGAATTCGTTGTCGAAATACACCTGGAAACATTCCATTTCTACCATATCATCACTGGTATATGGGAATAATGCTTTAACACCAAAATCGGTAGCATCAAATGTTGGTATTTGAGGGACAAATGTGGTGCAATCCTCCCACACAAGTACACCTGAGGGTTTGGTGTTGGTGCCAACACCACGGCCAACACCACCACGAGCACCAAATACATGGGTACGTCGTCTGGTGCTGGAACTGCGTGAGGGTATGCTAGGCGATGAGGCACATTTACGTACCGTAGGCCTACCACGAACACCTGATGTTGAAGGGCCACTGTCGTCATTGTCCCGTTGCTGTGAGACACGCTGCCACCTGCCGCAACGTGTTGCTGAGGCAACAAATCCCCGCCTGGTAACACCTTCGCTACTCGTACTCGGGTCGTCCACACTACTCATATCAGAGCCTATGTCACTGAAGCCCGAGAATGATTCACCGTATGTACTGTCATTAAATAAACTTGCGTCTGGGGATATACATGGTGGTGGTGATGATAACGGTGTAGACTCAGGGCTCAGAGCGGCGAGGCGCGTGTACCGTACACGCTCGCCACATCATCCACCTCAGTCTCTCCCTCACTCATATCAGACTACTGTGTAAGGTCTTTCTCCGGATCATAGTCTAGGTCATCATCCATAGCACAGTCATCATACAAAATGTCGCGTATCTCCTCCTCAGAGAGTCGTTTTCCATGACCACGAGTCACCGTGGAGCGGGAGCTCGTAGACGATGCGTCAGACATGGTTGCTGCTTTGAAACTGAGACTCCCCTAGGCCGAGGGGCATACTGGGAATTTTTTTCAAGATGGCAGACGATCACCGGAGCCCCATGGCATCCATTTCGTACCTAGGTCGCAGCGCGCCAGTTTTGAATGGAACGTGAAAAATACAAATACACGGAGGCGCGTTGTGCAAACCAGACGAGGGCCTGCAGGTGCGTTGCGCAGTTTAAGGGTTAAGTTAGGTGTTTCTCCACGAGTGGATCAGAATCGATTAGTCAGGTGTCAAAAGTCTTTCTAATGCAACCATAGCCTTTCTGATGCCAATGTAAAGTAAATCAAGCACCCATTGTATTAATAGTTAAGTTTGTAAATAAACTACTGTTAAGCTTTATGCAGTGTTTCCATTGAACCACTTCTGAACACTGCCAACTATTACTTAAGCCTTCAGCTCCAGGCGTCTTCAACACCGAGTTGCCTATTATTCACAAATCTATAAATGTGATGAGGACCCTTGGAGTCCCTTAAAAGTGTTTCAAGCATTAAGGAGATTCCAACAACCAACGTGGATCAGGAGCAGGTGAGGCTAGTCTGAGAGGAGACCATCAAGGACTCTTACTCGACCTTGCTCCCAGGCCCTGTACGCTTGCTCATGTATTTTCTCTGCTGGATTTCAACAGCTTCATGAAGCGTCTGCCACATGTACATTGGTGATGTACGCATTGCAGTCGGGAAAGTAAAGTAGAAAACCCCACACAAGCGACATGGCGATGTAGTGTGACATTTGCTTGTTTGCTCGTTTCCTTAGAATTGGAGGGAGTTCTGGCTCTCTGTTCGGGTTTAGTTGCAATTTTCTTACCACATGGGGTCTGTTTTGTTATGCCTACATTTCTGGGTACCTAAACTTGGTCGATGGCAAATAAGGAAAACCCCCAACCACAGGGGAGGTTTTCTAGGTCCATTGCTTTCTGAGGGGGGGGGGGGGACAGGTTCTGGTTTGTGGTCCTCGATAGGCTGAACTCCATAGACTAATGCCCCGGTTTAATGATTCGCATATTAGCCCGATAGCTCCAGGGAGTCAAAGGGGCTCCAAACAGAAAACACAAAAAGTAATAAAGTTTAGTGAAACTACAATATGTAAAGGAGGAAGAATTTGATGGTTCAATTAAGAGATAAATCCCTCATATTATGATCTTGATCTGAATGCAGAAAAAGCAAATTAAATACAGGGATCAGCAACATACCACCATGTGGAACTGACATAACAGAAACTGTGCTCTTGAGACGAGACTTAGCACCTGCAATGTGTCCAACAGCTGGCAATGTTTCAGCCAGAGTTTCTTCTTCTTCTTCCAATTCTTCTACCTCTTCAATGTATTCCTAATTAGAAAACAAAAACATATTATTATATTTAATAAAGGAACTTTATTTATAACAAAGCATGATAGTGTTCACTAAAACTCATATCAGCATGTATGCATATATGCATATATAGTATCACTATAAACTATGATCCCTTGAGGATTTGAACCTAGGTGGCCTTAGATTACCCTACTGGCTATCCAATACTAATACCACTCCACCATCAATTGCCTATAATTGATGGATGATACTGGAACCCACATGCTTCAAGCTTTGTCTCAAACATGTAGATTTAGTGCAATCCCAACATGTTCAAGGATTTCATGAAAAACTGAAACCAATATGCACCATGAGTGTTGCCATGTGATGGATGATCATGGAATCCGTAATTACCTAAGTGTTGAAGCATGTGGGTTCCAGGACTGTCCATCAATCATAAGCAATCAATGGTAGAGTGGTATTAGTATTAAATAGCCAGTGGAGTGACCCCTGGCTGCTCAGGTTCAAATCTTCAAGGGGATTTGAACACACACATAAAAGAGGGGTGACAGTGCCCGAGATAATATGTATCACCCCCCATTTCACCCTTTTTCTTTCTAATTTGGAAGGGGCAATTCATGGAGCTGGCCTAGACACATCCTGAGCTAAACCCTGCCCTGACCCAGAAACCCTCAGAAATTTTGAGGCCAGAAGCATAGGAAGGTGGAGGATCAGAAGAGGGGCAAACCACACCCAAAGGGAAAGGAAAAGGTGGTGCAGACAGCCACCAACACCTCTGATTCTGGGTCCCCGAACACCAGACGGGGCAGCTCTGGGGTAACCAACCGAGCACATAACCTCGACTGCTGTAATGGAGCAAAATTAACTTGCAAAGCGGACGCTGCCTGATATGCCCTAACCTCATCAGGAGGGTCAGAAAGAAGAGTCACATGGGGAGAGCAAATCCTACAGGACTCAGAATCGAAGGTGTCATTTACCTAACAGGCAGCATGGTGGAGGTAAAACAAGTGATTGTTGTCTCGTGGGACAGACGATGAGCAACCCTCAAACTTGCACAAAGTAAGAGCAGGTTTAGAGGAGATATCCATAAAACCACTGAACAAGCAGGGAATTTTCAGGACCTGAAGGGTAAACCAAGCAGGAAACCCAGGCATGGGGAATGCTATGCTGGACCAAAAAGTAAGCTGACACAGCCTGGATTACACGGCTGTAAGGCTGACCTCGGCTCACTGAAGGGAAAACCTGTGAACCACCAGTGAACCTCCCTCCAGCCAAAGTCACACCCAACCCAGGTTAAAACAGAAGTGACAAGAACTCATCTCACCCTGGGCAAGGTCCACCACAAACGAGGAGAACCTCAATGGGAGTGACTTCCAAACACTCCAGAGAAGACAACTCTGGCAATGCAAGGGCAGTGCTAGTGCCCATACATTGCCAGTACACACAGAGAAGGCAACCCTGAGCACATGCAGCTCCAAGCACTCTACAAGCCAGGCTCACACTTCACCGCAGTGTACAAGAAAGACACCAGGGGCAAAGACCAATAACACCTAGTTGAACTGTTGAGCCCGCACAGAAGAGGTGACCTGGGAACCACTACAGTAGTCAAGTGACCCCCAACCACATCAACATAAGAACTGACATCTCAGACTCCTGGAGGTGGTGAGCCCCATCCACCCCTCCCCACAAACAAGTGGGGGAGGTGTGGCAAATGAGCTCATGCTAGTTTTGAGAGATTTGATCATTTGTTTACATAGTTGGGGAAGTTCATTAAGTGGGTGTTGAGTCTTCAGTCCCTTTTGAACTCAGCAGTGTTTTGTTATGACTCTGACTTTCTGGATACCTTCCCTGGTGAGGTGGTGAAATGTTACCACTCCCTGTGCCTCTTTGAGAGGTCACATTCTGGTCCCCGGTAGGCTTAAAAACTCCACGGCTGATGGGAATCATCTCAGTGTATGGCTTCAGGGAGCCACAAAGGGCTCTCTCCAGAAACACTGCCAAAACCCATGATACCCCCACTCCAGGGAAAGAAGAAGAAGAGAAAACGAGGTAGTGAACATGAAGATAAATGACCAAGTAGAGTCCTTGAAGGAATGCAAAACAGTCAGCCAATAGGCACAGCAAATCACATCAAATCTACGAGGTAGTGAACATGAAGGTAAACGACCAAGTAGAGTCCTTGAGGGAATGCAAAACAGTCAGCCAAGAGGCACAGCAAATCACATCGAATCTATCTTCGCACAGAAACTAAGCACAGTGAACAGCTAGAGGACAGCAGCTGCAGCTTCACTGCACACAGAGAATATCTACTGAAGTAGAGGTGACTGGCATAAATTGAGCACATTTGTCCATAATGAGATACACAAATTCTCCTCATAAAACAACAGGAGATTGACTTTCATGCCACCAGGCTCAAGCAGGGGCTGCAGAAGCCAACACAATGAGATCCCACATTGCGGCCAAAACATAAGCCATGCTATACATGGTTATACTGTACCGGCAAAATTTCCCTTATAATTACATGGATGATATGTCTTGCCATTTGGAGACTAGTGCCTGGGTGCCAGCCTGGGCACCCAGATATTAAGATTCAAAATGCAACTCTGGGCAAAGCTGTCTTTAGTGTATTTCTCCATAGGTAATGCATGCACAGAGTTCATTCCAAGTCATTTTATAGAGCAATGTCGCCTATTTTGAATAATACCATAAATTTAACAGTCAAACTAATATTACTATTTGTTTAGTTCATCAAGAATGCCAAAACCTATCTTACAGCTGTCCAAAGACCAGCAACTGCATCCCACAGAACAGTTATAAAATAGAAAGTTATGGTACATACCTCTACAACCTCTAAACTGTCATTGTGTACAGGTCGACCTCCTAGTCGAGACCTAATATCTAGGTGTTCATCCTTTACGGCAAAGACTCCAGTGTCTACACCTTCCAGGGTGACAATGAACTTAGTGTTTTCTACCCTGTAAGAGAAAAAATAAAGTAATAATACTGTATACATTATATCAACACTGTGCACATATCTTACACAGGGCTATGAAACATCACACAATTCAGTACTATATTGAAATACTGCTGGAACAAAAGTGGATGTGTTCAAGAAACAGCTATACAAGTTCCTGCAAAGAAGTTCCAGACCAACTTGGATGCAGTGAATATGTGGACCTGTGGGCTGCTCCAAGCAACAGCCTGTTGAACCAAGTTACCATAAATCAAGCCTAGCCCCAGGCTGCATTTGTGGAGTAGAACAACCTCCCAGAACCCATTGCAGGTACACTCATGGTACAGTATTTGCAAATGACAACTATGGCAATTGAATGCATCATACTTGTAAATTACAAGCTGACAATATCAAGAACTGTAAGCCAGCATATTTATCAAAACCTAGCTGATAAGACAATGCCAGAAAACTAGTTGCCAAGTTTCTTGCTAAAGATAAAGATGGCAATATAGTGCAATCTCTCTAATCCAGACTTCCATACAGTGGATTCCTCCAAATAATGAGGCCAAATCTGCTATTTGTCTACAGCTCCAAAATTTACATTTATTCAAAATACAGTAATTGTTTTAAAGATATTTTAATGTGCTTGTACCATATTATATATTATACAAGAGTTTATTTATAGGATGCTCCTTGTTGCTATACTCCCCCCCTCCCATGTGTTTTACGTGTGCATGGTCTGACACTCACTACTCAAGCATTTTCATTCACATTTCTCTGACAATATCATTATTTTAAAAGGAGAAACAGATCATGACTGGGCAGGCAAGTGGCAACTAGTAATGTTTCTGACATAACAAAAGAAGAAAAGGAATCATGGAGCCTGCAAGTAGGACAAAAGTGGTGGTAAGTGTAGTGACCAGGATTCCTTGAGGACATTAAAATATGAACAACTGGATGATACTGGTTACCAGTGGTACATACCGGTGGTCATACAGAGCACTGTATTGTCTCCTCATGACTTGTAAATCTGAACTTCAGTTGATACCTAGTACCTGGTTGATGGGGTTCTGGGAGTTCTTCTACTCCCCAAGCCGGGCCCCGAGGCCAAGCTTGACTTGTGAGAGTTTGGTCCACCAGGCTGTGCCTTGCAGCGGCCCGCAGGCCCACATATCCACCACAGCCCAGTTGGTCGGCACTCCTTGGAGAAAATGATCTAGTTTTCTTTTGAAGATGTCCACGGTTGTTCCGGCAATATTTCTTATGCTCGCTGGGAGGGGTGTTGAACAACTGTGGACCTCTGATGTTTATACAGTGTTCTCTGATTGTGCCTATGGCACCCCTACTCTTCACTAGTTCTATTCTGTATTTTCTTCCATATCGTTCACTCCAGTATGTTGTTATGTTACTGTGTAGATTTGGTACTTGGCCCTCCAGTATCTTCCACGTGTATATTATTTGATATCTCTCTCGTCTTCTTTCTAGTGAGTACATTTGGAGAGCTGAGATAATCCCAATAATTTAGGTGCTTTATTGCATCTATGTATATCATATATGTTCTCTGTATTCCCTCTATACAGGCATACCTCAGAATGCGAGTTTAATCCGTTCCTGGAGACGCCTCGCCTTCCGAAAACTCGCATTCCGAAGTTAATTTCCCCATAAGAAATAAAGGGAAATGAATTAATCCGTTCCTGACTACCCCAAAAACCCCACATCAAACTAAATTTTTATACCTAATTTACCTAATTCATCTAAATAAACCTACAAAACTATGTTCCAGTTATTACTTACCTTGCTGTCGAGTGCTGTAGGCGTATGGAAGATGGTGAGGAGGGGGGAGGAGGAGAGGAGTTACTGTTTGGAAGGGGAGTCCCCTTCCATAATCACATCAGGCAGTGAGGACCTTTCTGGTGTGCTCTCCCTGGGACGTTTAACCTGAGTGCCACTAGGTCCTGGTTGAGGCTCACTGCTCGATTTCCTCACCACAAATCTGTCCATGGAAGCTTGCTTTTCCCTTCTTCGCAAGCTGTCTCTGTAGTAAGGCATCACATTGTCATTGAAAAGATTAAGACAACGGCCTACTACAGCTTTCTCTGGGTGAGTCTGTTCAATAGTTGTTTGAATCTCTTCCCACATCTGACACACCTTCTTAATTACTGCAGAAGGGACATTCGCTGGTGCTGTTGGTGCTGCTGCCACCTCCTCCTCCACTGCAGAATCATTCGCTGCTGCGTTGGCTTGCTGTTCCTGTTGAAGGGCTAGGAGTTCTTCGGTGGTCAGTTCTTCGTTGTGTTCTTCCACCAACTCCTCCACATCATCACCATCCAATTCCAAGCCCATTTGCTGGCCTAGACTAACAATTTCCTCAACAATAGGCGCATCATTTATAGGCTCAAACCCCTCAAAGTCTAGTTCTCTCACACCTTCAGGCCACAATTTTCTCCAGCCAGAGATCAGGGTTCTTTGAGTCACTTCTTGCCAGGCTTTGTCAACGAGTTTTAAAGCACTACAAATGTTAAAATGCTCTCTCCAGAACTCTTTGAGGGTGAGGTTTGTGGCTTCAGTCACTTCAAAACATTTCCGGAAAAGTGCCCTTTCATACAGTTTCTTAAAATTCGCTATGATTTTCTGGTCCATAGGCTGAATTAGAGGAGTGGTGTTAGGAGGAAGGAATTTAACTGTGAGGAATTTATTGTATTTAGGCAACAAATCATCTTCCAAGCCTGGAGGATGAGCAGGAGCATTGTCAAGGAGAAGCACGGCTTTGAGTGGCAATTGTTTCTCCTGCAGATATTTTTCTATGGCAGGGCACAGCACTTCATTCACCCACTCCGAAAAAATAAGCCTAGTCACCCATGCTTTTTTATTAGACTTCCACATCACACACAAATGGGTTTTCTGCACATTATACTGTTTGAAAACCCTTGGATTTTCAGAATGATACACTAGCAAGGGTTTAATTTTCAAATCGCCACTCGCATTTCCACACAGCACAAGCGTAAACCTATCTTTCATAGGCTTGTGTCCAGGCAAGGATTTTTCCTCCTTGGTAATGTATGTCCTCTTAGGCATTCTTTTCCAAAACAGTCCTGTTTCATCACAATTAAACACTTGTTGCGGTAGGTATCCCCCAGTCTCTGCAAACTCTTTAAATTCTTCAATAAATCGTCCAGCGGCTGGTTTGTCTGAGCTGGCTGCCTCCCCATGCCTTGTAACACTATGGATACCACTTCTCTTTCTAAATTTTTCAAACCAGCCCCTGCTTGCCTTAAACTCTTTCTTATCTGCATCACTCGTTGCAGGGGTCTTCTTTAGAAGGTCTTCGTGCAACACCCTGGCTTTCTCACAAATAATGGCCTCCGAAACACTATCACCCCTCAACTCCTTGTCGTGTATCCAAATTAATAACAACTTTTCCACTTCTTCAAGTATTTGTGGTCTTTGTGCCGTTAATGTTCTTACTCCTTTTGCCACATTAGCACCCATAATCTTATTTTTCTTCTTAAGTATAGTGCATATTGTTGATGTGGCTTTGTTGTACTGCCTACAAAGTTCAACAACACGTGTACCGTTCTCATGCTTCCGAATGATCTCTTGTTTCTCCTCTATTGTCATCCTCACATGAGCTTTCTGGCCTTTATCCTTACCACTGGCTTTCTTGGGACCCATGGTGAGATATATAATAACAAATTGTATAGACAAATCACCAAAAATCCAACAAAACACTGAAAATCCGCGAGAAGAATTGATGTGGGGGTAGTCACTGAGCGCGAGACAATGGTAAACTGAGGGGCAGCGGGGCAGAGGGGCGACGATCGCCGAACCACCACGCGCTAGGTCGGCCTGTACGCGTATCAACAAACTCGCGTCCCGAAGTAACCATCGCCTTCCGAGACAAATTTTTGGAGTAAATACTGCTCGCCTTCCGAAAACCTCGCATACAGGGACAATCGCATTCCGAGGTACCACTGTACTGCATGGAGTTCCGAGTATCCAGCATCCTACTTTTCCGGTTATTCCCAATGGCCTCATTTTGTGTGCTATCACTCCATAGTCCCATTTATCGAAAGCCTTTGTGAAGTCCATGTATACCACATCAGCATTCTGTTTTTCTTCTAATGTCTCAGTGACTTTGTCGTAGCGATCAAGGATTTCACTAATTTCTTTGTCATCCTCCATGTATGAACCTTCACTCGTATGAATAGGTCCAATACTGGCAGTAGTTTTTTGTTTTGATTTCGCATATGTGAAGTATTTTGGATTTTTCTTTATTTTGTGAATTGCTTTCTGTTCTAACTGCCTTTCTTCAGTTTAATATGAGTGTTTCAATTTCCGCTCGATTTCTTCAATCTCCCTATTTAAATTATTCCTTCTTTGACGGGAAAGTCATGTCTGCTTAAGCATTACCGTTATTTTTTTTCATAACTTTTCATAATTGACAGTGCATAACTTTCGAAGAGTGCAGCTGATACACCAGACGTATTTTACTGGCATCGAGTTTTAAATCTCACGTTATTGTCAACAGAATGGAACCTGATGTTATTAGAACGCCAGAAGAATTCATCAATGTGATATTTGAAGATTTTAGAAAATACCTCTTTAGTACAAGCTTAGGAAACTACTCCAAGCTTGTACTAAAGAGGCACCCTTCTTGAGCCCGGATGGGCACATGTATAAGCAAGTAGATGGGGTCGCCATGGGTTCTCCCCTAGGTGTCCTGGAAAAATCCACCAGAAATACAGAAGTAAACAAAATAAACTATTGTCAGAAGAAAGAAATGAATCATGAGCAAGTAAGCCAAATTATAATGTGATCTGCATTTTGAAAGCCTTTAAATGTTGGACATATGAACCAAGTATTTGAGTGTGTTTACTGCATACCTGCTTTTATTTGTATTTGTAAATCATCCTTTACCATCTCATTCCATTCAGAGTCTTTGTGTACAAGTTGGATACCTTGCCTTCAAAAAGCTGTTTCTTCCTCTTATACAGTATTGTAATATCTTTAGTATCTAGCTCCTAAGGTGTCACAAGTACTATTCAAGTGATATTTTCGTGAAATGCTTATGATAAAATTGATAAGCTACAAAGCTTCAGAATAATGTTATACTACTGTATAACTTTATATGTGCTCATGTACTGTATCTGTTCATCTATAAGCCCAACTTAGTGAGGCGATTCTAGTAAATTAAGCCTCACAAGATCTACAATACATTGAACATTTTCGTCCGGGAACGACGCAGCATTGCGTAATTTTTTTAGTAGACGCAATCCAGGGAACGATGCAGCATTGCGTCATTTTCGGCGGCAGATTGGCGGCGGCTTCAGGAGGGGCGCACAGCGGTTTTGGATATTATATGCATATACTCTTGTAGGGAATTTCATTGCGAATACATTGATACCAAAATGAAAGACCTAGGACCAGAATTGAGGTAACAAAGTTGAAAACAGTATATGTACCATTTTATTAGCGCTCACTGGGATTATGCTCCGTCATTTTCTCTGTTTGCTGTGGGTGGTACGCCTGGCTTTTGGACTTTATATTTGCATATACTCCTGTAGGGAATTTTATTGCGAACACAATGTTACCAAAATGAAAGACCTAGGACGGGAATTGAGGTGACAAACGTGAAAGGAGTGTACACATTTTATCGCTCTTATGCGCTCCTGGGTAACACGCGCACTCACTTTCTCTGTTTGTTGTGGGTGGTACGACGGGCTTTTGGAGTTTATATGTCTTTAGTCATGTAGAGAATTCTATTGCGAACACAATGATACCAAATTGAAAAACCCTGGACGAGAATTGAGGTGACAAAGTTGAAGAGAGTATACACTTTTCAGAACTACCGCGCGCTCCCGTGAAACGCTGGGACCCACTGGGCCTAGTTGAGGGCTGGTGGGCGGGGTGCGTGAAAGTGTTAAAACTTGTTCTTGTTCATAACTTAATTTCTCATAATGATGACCTGCCACATAAATTTGAGCCTGCTTTCATGGATTTCAAAATCAACAGCAAGTTTTTATCTTAATATTACACAAATTTACTCCATTCAAAAATATAGTTACCCAGCAAGAGGCTGAATTCTGGGCTGGGGTGGTGGAGGCAGGAGGGGCTGGTCTTCTTCTATCCCTTCATCAACAACTTCTTCCTCCACCTCCTCCACCTCTTCCATACCAAATCCACTGTCTGAAAAAAGTAAGTATTTATTACTAGTACTCTTCTTTTCCTTCTCATGGATCATATATTATAATAAAAAATAAAGCCTCAAAAGTGATGAAATGCTACTCTTGGGCTGCACTCTAGTAATTCCCAAACTTGTGGCTTTAACCACCTTAGGGTTCAGAGATCTTATAGGATTGGATGTTTGCCAATCCTGAGCCCCCAAACACCTAGTAGAAGGTGTTTGGCTAGTTTCTCTGAAACTAGAAAAGTACCTCACTTTGAACCTAGTACCTCTAGGTGTACCTCTCTGAAACTAGAATAGTACCTCTATTGACCCATCCCAATAGTAACTGATGAATGTATGCATGAAACAGACCAATCAGATTCACTAGTTCAATATCAGGGCTGAAGACATGGAAGCTTTACATTGATATGGTTGCTTGCTTAAAGTATTCTTTCACTGAGGGCTAATTAATAATTTTCTCTTTAGGTGAAAAAAAAACCAACGTTGAATGTAATGAAACGCCATTTTCTGGGCGAGTCCTGGAGGCTCCCTGGAGCTATCGGACTGATATTAGCTATATTAGTCTGGGGATTCAGTCATATGGAGTCTGTATGCCTACCGGGAACCATGAGCCAGAACCTGGTTCCCTCAGAGGCGAAGGGAGCAATGGCCTATGAAAACTCCACTCTCTGAGAGTATATTCATGTCTGCCATCGACTGGGGTTGGGCACCCAGAAAGGTAGGCGTAGAGACCAAACAGAGCCTAAGAAGGAAACAAGGAAAACAAGATAACAAGAAAAACGTCATCACACTGCATGTCGCTCGTTTGCACCCCTTTCCCACTGAGCCAGCCTCCAAACAGAAACAAAAGCCGCCTACTGAAGGGAGAGAGGGGTGTCAGGGAACATCTGGGACTCGTCCAGAAAATACCATTTTATTACATTCAACAGTGGTTTTCTATGTGGAGCCCTGCTGGCTCACTGGAGCTAGCTACCCAAAAGAGCAGTAAAATAGGGACTTATCCAGGAGGCGGTCACACCGCATGACTTGTGATACCATAAATGTTTTTATTTAATATTTTACATACAACTAGAGTTAAGTCACACAGGATATTGGTGGTGCCAGGGTGTCGGTCTTTAGCAAAAAAAGTCACACCTTTCGAGACTTAATGTTCACAGGCTGAGTAGGAGTCAGGTCGTGTGAGGTGACCTCGCTTCTGCTAAGCTGTTAATTGCAGATAGGTGTATGTGTTGTTTCCATCAGTCAAGCAGCTGTATAGGTGTGGTAGGAAGATACCGATAGGCTATCTACTGGCAGGCGGAGCTTAGCTCCCGGTTCCCTCATAAATACCCGTGAAACTATATATTTGAGACAATGAGGAAAACAGTGACATATAGATCGCTACTCGAGAGAGGTTCCAGCAGCCAGATTAGGCCTGTCCCAGGCTGGGTGGGGGACTGTCTGTCAGCTGTACCACCCCCCTTCTCTCTCCTCTCTATAAAACTTAGTCTCAGAGACTTTGGTGAGTGAATTGTAATGTGACTATATTGTGTTTTCAACTTATGTGTTGTGTGTTTTTCTGGGGCAGTCAGCCGTAGTTGCTCTCAATTTCTTGTGTGGTGACTAATACTGAATTAATGTTGATATTTGAACATCAATCGAAATGGTTGAATTATGATACCCATAATAGTAAAGATATAATTAACTTACTTTTTAAATTGTCTTTAATTCTGATCCCTAGGTCTTGGATTTTCTATGCTACATTGAAAGCTAGAGTGGAGAGCACTCTGAAGTTTACTGGCTTAAGATTTTGACAAAGATTTTTGGTTATATAATTTATATTCATTCAGTGGCTGTGATAACATCAGATAAGATTGTTGTGCAGACAAGTTCCATTCCTTGTCTTTTAATTAATTATTGAAAGGATGGTGGCAGCACTCTTTCAGCACCTTCTATCTTTCTACTATTCAAGTACAGTACTCTACTTTCTTTCTCTATTCTTTTCTACTCATCTACTTTCCTCCTTTCTCTCTCATTCTAAACTTTCCCTTCCACTCCTCCTCTATCTACCTCCCTCACCCTATGAGTTATTATATTATCTTTTTTTCCCTTTTTTAATTTCAGATATGTTACAGACTCATGACGAGGACGGGACAACTAGCTGCAACCACCGACCCAAAGCAACACAAGACTGCCGAGGGGCCGGCACATTAATGCAATAACAGGCAGCCAAGACCTTGTGCGACCTCCAATCCTTCGCGTCTTAATGTCAGACCAAGACATGTTTCCAAACACAACAGCAAGAGCCGCAAACTTTCGAACATTATGGGCGCCAGGGTAGACTGCAGGTTGGCTAGACTTAATAACCCTGCAGACGACCTGAGAGACCCAAGCCCTGGAACAGGGAACGAGGGATACCGGATCAACCCACAGAGTATCCTTGGACACAAAGCCCAGGCATGCAGGTAACGGCGTAAAGTTGCAACCCGACACAAAACTTGATACACCCCTGGCCTGACCAACCAAGCATCAATAACCCACGGACCCCTCCAGAAGCCCACAGTCGTCTCATTTTTCGCCAGAAAAGAAGGAGACAGCTGCAAGCGAAGAAAATGTCCATCAGGACCAAAAGAGCAGAAGCCCCTGCGCCAGAGGAGAGCATGAGGCTCTCTGACCTGATGCCAAGAGGCCAGCAAAATCAACGCCTTCTGAAAGCAGTCTGGGACCGAAGGGGGCCATCAAAAACCAAGGAAAGGAGAGAAAGGAGAGCGCCCAGTTGAAGGACCAAGATGGCTCAGGTGGCAAATGAGCAGGCTGGAGGTGGAAAAATGCACGAGAAAGCTTACGAAATGGAAAAGAAGGGACATCTACCCTGAATGCAAGCTGGAGCGGCTCTGCCAGTGCCGCACAATACGAGGTGACAGTATTTGGAATAAGATGTCGGTCCTGAATGAGCCAAGAAAGGAAGGACAAAACAACCCGATTCGAAACCAAAGACAACCAATGAAGGGAAAGGAAGTGGCGAAAAGACTGCCAGGAGACTTCATACTGTCGCCGAGAAGACGACCACAGATGGGACACAATCAGAGAAGCCAACTGATCACCATACAGATGGTGATACACTCACGTCAGAAATCAGACGCGAAATGCGGAAGAGTAGAGTGAACCAGCAAGGTACCTCACTGGCCCCATCTGCTGAAAGAGGCGTAACCACAGAAAATGCCCCAGGTTCGGACACCGAACAAGCAGCGCCTGAAACTAAGGCTGTGCTGGCCACCATGGGGCCAGAAGGATAGCCCTCCCTTGATAGGACTCGAGCTAAGCCAGACTAGTCCTACCGAAAAGTGACTACCGCGATGGCATCGCAGATGGGGAAGAGCGCCACATAGAAAGGGAGATGCCTCGACCACGCCGACGCGAAGAGGTCCACCTCTGGGGGGGCCCAAGCGTCCTTCAAAGCCAACTGAAAATGCCGGTGTCAACAGTCCATTCCATTGACAGGGAAATGAACTGTGACAGGTCATCTGCCAGAGCATTGAACATGTCCTTGATATGAACAGCACGCAGAGCTAAACCCCGAGAACTTAGCAGAAGAGCCACTCGAAGCAACCAGCCCCAAACAGCCAAGGACCGCAGAGACCCCGGCGGTTCAGGCAATGAACCACCGGAGCGCAGACTGAATGGAGTCGGATTGTAAAGCCTCGAGGGATCAGAATCTGACGCAACAAAAGCCACACCGCTGCGAATTTCCGCACCGTACTGTGGGCCCGACGGAAGGACGGACCCTACTGCTCCTGGCCGGCCTGGTGAGCACTAGTCACAAAGCCCCAGCCTAGAGATGAGGCATCCGTGAACACACCAAGTGAGGGTTCTGGAAGGTGCCAAGGCACCAAACCCTGAAAAACCCAAAGAGGACGCCGGAGACACAGCAACCGACACAAGGCCCCGTGGGACAAACACAGCGATCGCGAAAGGGGTGGCCCCAAAGAAACCAGAATAGACGCCGAAGCCAAACTCGACCCAGGACCCGATCCTGAACAACCACCGAGTGACCCAGGACCCCCCTCAGAAACAGCCGAAGGTGGGACTGCGGATGGAGCAACGTCGCCGGAGGAAGAAACAAGGATACTGTCTGGGAATGCCAGAAAAGACCCAGCCAAGTCCGAACTTGAGACTGTACCAGATGGGACTTCCTCCAGTCCACCAGGAACCTGAACCTGGCGAACTGGGCAAGAACCAAACCCCTGGCGAGTAGACATGCAGACTGGCTGGGAGCACACACCAACCAGTCATCGAGATAGGCCAAAACCTTAACACTTAGCAGAAACAGACAGGCCACCACGACCCAGATAAGACGTGTAAAAAACACGAGGTGCCAGATTTAGCCCGAAAGGAAGACAATGAAAGTAGTGAGTCTGCCACCACACTACAAAATCTAACCAGTCCCTAAACCCCGGATGAATGGGAACGTGCCAATATGCGTCCCGGAGGTCCAGACACACATCCACAAACCCAGCTCAAAGAGAATCCGATCCTGGGACAGAGTGGTCATCCGAGAGAAGGGGCAAGGAATCCAGCAGGTCAGATGGGATAAGTCCAAAATGAAACGAAGATCCGCACAGTCCTGTTTCGGCACTGGAAACAAACGGGAAACCCACCTGAGGGATGAGGTCGTTTCGACCACACCTAAGGGCATCCATTCCAAGATGACTCAACGAAGAGAAGGGGAAGAAGCCTACCCCACCAGTCCCGAACCTCCCGGAAGAGGAGAAACCGCTCAACGCCAACCCAGGCCAGAAGACATGACCTAAACCGCCCACCCATGAATCATGGTACTGGGCATCAGCAAACAGAGCCAGCCTTCTCCCCAGCGCCCTGTCAACGGGGCGACCCCCGAAAGTGCCGGAGACCTTTCCAAGAAGCCAACTTACGTGCAGAGCGAGCACCGCGCCAACCAGACTCCGAAGCAGGCACTAGCTCTGAAACTGGCCCCAAGGGCCCACCTCAATCAGCAGATACTCAAGCCCTGGCACAACCCTTCTGTGAACCCTGCATAACCAACAAATCCAAAAGAGGATTGGAACTAGCAGAAGCCGCCTGCAAAACTACGGACAAAACGGAAATGAAAATCTAATAGCCAAGCCCCAAACAGAATCAACAGAGAGAGAGCGAGGACAGCCTACCGACACGCAAGGCGAGAGTCACAAAACAGAGAGACTGCCTCCCAGAGGATAGGCGCATACAGTTTCAGTAACGCTGCCGACGCCTTAGCCGCCAAGGTCAATGCAGCAGACGACGGCCCAACACTCAATTCCTCCACATCCTCCACAAGCCAGTCTGAAGACAGCTCAAGAATGGAAAAGAAATGGAGGACCGTGGCCAAATGCCTGCGAGCACGAAGATCCTCCGCCACCAAAGCAGCCGAAAGGGTAGGGACTTGGGCATGCATAGTGGTGTGAAGGAACGCATTAAGGTGATCAAAGTGAGCAAAGTAAACAAAGAGTGAGCTCTTGCCACTCAAGCCTTTGGGTACAACAAAACCCGTACCATGCCCCTAACGAAAACAAAGCGCAGACTGCAAGCCAGGAAGATGCCGGAACCTCACAATGCACCCAATATGGGGAAGAACCCCGGAATCAAAAGTGATCGGATCCATCACAGAAGCAAAATCCGGGTCTCGCTGGAGGTAGGCACTGAGGGCCTCCTGAACCTCCGCAGGGAAAATCTGAGAGGTAGAAAACCTCCAGAAGGACAAAGCCGTGGAACACAAAGAAACCCGGAAATGAACCCGGCGGAGGGGGGGGGGGAGAGGGAACCCAAATCAAACTTGTACAAAGAAAGGGGGATAAGAAAACCCAGAACCATGCAACAGCAGACCCCTCCCTGAGGGTACCAAAGCCCAGGCAGGAAAAGAGTCCCAAGTACCCCAGGCTGATACCCCCCCCCAACCCGGAAGCCTCCAAACCAGGCTCCTGGGCAGAGCCATCCTCATTGCCCTCCACCCTTGAAGAAAAGGCAGAGTCCAAGGAAAAGGCATCAAAGAAGGGGGCCCGGCTGGAAAGACCCAGAAGCCTCTGCGGGAGGAACAGGCTCAAATGCCTCCGTCCCCGTATCGAATGGGGCAGTCCCTGGAGCCAACCGAGTCTCATCCCCAACTAAACTCTGCCCCAACTTCGAAACCCTCAAGACTTATGGGATCCGGCAGTTGGGGTGAGCGGGTGAAGAGGAGGGTGAACCACACCAACAGGGGAAGGTATAAGGGTCGAAGAGACCAACGTCCCCATGTCCGGGTCCCTAAAACCAAAGCGGGGCAGCCCTGAGGCATTCGAGCTTTGGGGAGGGAGTTTGCAAATGAGCGGCACGCGGTGTGATGACATTTTGCTTGTTATTTTGTTTTCCTTTGGGGGGAAGTTCCAAGGCTCTGTTCGGTCTCACAATTTTTTCTACCAGGAGTGGTCTGTTTTGGGGCACCTACCTTTCTGGGTGCCCAACCCTGGTCGATGGCAGACATGAATATACTCTCAAAGAGTGGAGTTTTCATACGCCATTGCTTCCTTCGCCTCTCTGAGGGAACCAGGTTCTGGCTCATGGTTCCCGGTAGGCATACAGACTCCATATGACTGAAGCCCTAGACTAATATAGATAATATCAGTCCGATAGGCCCAGGGAGCTGATGGGGCTCCGCACAGAAAAATAAAAAATACCTTACCTGGTACAACAGGTCCATGCTCTTCTTCCATAGGTATTACATTTTCTAACATTTCATCTTTTTCAATGATCTCTGTTGTGGTTGTAATTTCAGGACTTGTCAGAACCACTTCCTCCATTTTTTCTTCTTCCAGCTGCTTCTCACTTTCTTTTCGCGTAGCATTAGGTACGGTAATAGCTATCTTCCGAATCCTAATTTCATCCTCCCGTGGGCCTTCCTCCTGAGAAGGAAGGTCTTTGTGACGAGCTTGCTCTCGCTCTCGCTCTCTGTATCCACGTGTAAATAACTCACCCTGCAAAGTCATATATGCTTTATTAACAGAGAGTCAGTGAAAATTAACATTAAGGAGCATCTGTGAATAATGCAGGCAGTAAATTACAATGATGTCCAAAACTTAGACCCAGCCCACAAATCTGAAAATAAATGAAATAATGACATTTTGGTCCGTCCTGAAACATTATCAAGTCATGAAAAGAAAATGTTAGGTCTGCAGCAGCCCGTTCTCATAAACTAGGGCCAAAAGTGATTCCATGCACCCACCAAACCCCTTGTTAATGAATGAAAAACCGTTTACACGTCTCAAAACTGATGACGTTCAAACACATCTCTAATTCATCACTCGAACGACTTTTGTTTGAACCACATTGTTGTAAATGTTTCACCCACATACTACAAATACAAATAATTCCTACCTAACCTAACCAATTCCTAAATATGTATGCACAATATGCTAATATGCATATAACAATTTTATATGCATATTGTATTTATGTTTGAGAAAATTCCTATTTTGAATGAGCAGCATTTCTGGGGGAAAATGGAGCTTATCCAGGCTGATATGCTAATGTCAGACTTTGGCATCAGTCATGTGTATGGAGTTCTGTTGGCCTACCGGGGACCACGAGCCAGAACCTGGCCTCCTGAGAGGCATGGGGAGCGGTCTATAGAAACCCCCGTGTGGTTGGAAGCATTCTATGTCTGCCACCCAGAAAGGTAAGCATCCCAAAACAAACCCCTATTCTGGTAAAATTTGCTACCAAAAGCCGAACAAGTGGATAGAACGCCCCAAAAAGAAATGAGCATGACGTCACAATGAACAGCGTCGGTTATGCTCCCTAAACGATAGATCGTCAGACATCATTATTCCCAAATCCTTGACATGCTGTTTACCTATTATGGGCAGATTCGATTGTGTTTTGTACCCTGTATTATGTTTCAGGTCCTCATTTTTGCCGTACTTGAGTAACTGGAATTTATCGCTGTTAAACATCATGTTATTTTCTGCTGCCCAGTCGAAAACTTTGTTGATATCTGCTTGCAATTTTTCCATGTCTTCAGCAGAGGTAATTTTCATGCTGATTTTTGTGTCATCTGCAAAGGATGACACGAAGCTGTGACTTGTATTTTTATCTATATCTGATATGAGAATAAGGAACAGCAGTGGTGCAAGGACTGTACCTTGAGGTACAGAGCTTTTAACTGGGTAAGAGGGTAAGACTTTAACTTTAGGGTAAGAGGCAGTTTGCACTGGTAAGGGGCACAGGGTGCTGCACAGCTTGTTTTCACCATTCAAATCGGCCAGTTCTGTTCCTTGGAGTACATTGTCCTCTTGTGGCGATTTGTTTTTCTTTTGTTTTTGCCTTGTAGGAGGGTCTGCCTTGCTTGCCCCTTGGTGTATGACCTGACACGGTTTTCTGGTGGTGCCCCCTGCTAGGTCCCCGTGAGTGTACACGTCCCAGGGGTTCAGCTTTAGGAAGTTGATTGGTAGTTTTGGGCGCCGGTTAGCAGTACCCTGCCTGGGATATCCTGAGCATGAGTACCATCTCAGGACCCTAGGAAACCACACGGGGGCACGTGGGTCAGATGGATGTGACCCCAGAGTCTCCACTCGCTTTGTGCGAGTTTGAGGGTTGCTCTGTCCCCATGTCTCAGGGTGACTATCACTGTTTTTGCCTCCATCACACTGCCTGTTGGGTCGGTGACACTTTCGACCCGGAGTCCTGAGAGTTCTGTTGCTTGCTTGTGACTCAGATTACCCAGTCTAATGATGATCTTTTATGGGTACAGGCGGCGCAGGTATTGCATGTGCGCTTTAGGTTGTTGCAATGCGTTCGGTTGGTTGCATACCCGGATGCCCAGAGGCTGCTCCGTTTTGCTTATAGGGACCCGGACTTTGGGGTTGGGGTCGCTTTGACCTTGGATCAGTCCGCACTCCCCACATCCTTTCCCTGCTGTGGTGCGTCCTGGTCCTCCCCCCTACTTCCGGCCCCGAAGCGTCCGAGGGTTTCGGAGTCAGGGCAGGGTTTAGATGGTCTTGAGACTCTGGCAGTTTTGGGGATGTCCCTTCCAGTGTGGCGACGGAGGCATTCGAGTCCGATCCCCCTACCACAGCCTCCGGGTCTGATCAGTGGGCTCCCTTCCGTCTGGCTTATGCAGCTGCACCGGCTTTTTCTTTTGAGGCCAGTGCATTGGGGATGACTCATCCCCAGGTCCTGAGGAGGAGGATCTTGGGGCTGGGGAGGGGCTGACTTGGGGGCCTTGGGCCCTGCTGGACACCGCCTGGGTTTTTCTGCCCTCTGAGCGGGGCTTACTCTTACAAGGAGTGGGGTTCTCTTATCCCCCCCTCTGCATACGAGTTGGATTTGGTGTCTGCCCCTCCCATGGTTCGGTTCCAAGTCCCCTCGGGTGCGTCGGTTCCGTCCTTCTGGAGGTTTTCGGCTTACCGCATCCTACCGTCTGCGGTGTGGGTGGCCCTTGCGGCTTACCTGCTGCGCGACCCGGATTATGCATTGCTTATGGATCTGTCTTCATTCAGGTTTGGGTTTTAGTGAATTAGAGGAAGTCCCATTTGGTTCCCTCCCAGGTTCGGATCTGTCTTGGTCTTGTGAGGGACTCTCGGACCGCTTCCTTGTCTCTTCCTCCGGAGTCTCTCTTGCGGCTGCGGTCCCACATGCGCCTGTTTCTGGGGGGGTCCTGGGTCACCCGGCGGTTGCTTGAGGGTCTGTGCGGGAGCCTGAACTTCGCGATGATGGTCTACCCGCTGGGTAGGGTTTGGCTTCGTCGGCTGTTCTGGTTCCTCAGAATTGACGGGTGGATAGCTGGCGTGAGGGGTCTGGGGCTCCCCCTTCCCCCTCCCGGGGAGAGGGAAGCTGCACAGACAGCAGCGCAGCGACGTGTGATATCATGCTCGTTTGCTTGTTTCTTTTTGGGGAGTTCTATCCACTTGTTCGGCTTTTGGTAGCAAATTTTACCAGAATAGGGGGTTTGTTTTAGGATGCTTACCCAAGCATCCCATGTTCGTTTCTGGGTGCCTGACCCGGTCGGTGGCAGACATAGAATGCTTCCAACCACACGGGGGTTTCTATTGGCCACGTTATGGCTCGTGGTCTCCAGTAGGCCCACAGAACTCCATACACATGACTGATGCCAAAGTCTGACATTAGCATATCAGCCTGGATAAGCTCTGGTCTCACCCAGAAAATGGAGTTTCATTACATTTAACGCTGGTTGTTTAAATCGATGAATGCAACTTTGAGGTCAACTGCTGGTTGGACTGAACTTTGTCAGAGGATGGGTTGGTCTGCAGATACAAACAATGCTCTCTTCTATCATGTTAGGGACATAAATCATCCTACAGATTGATCTTCTAAAATAATCCTTCCACCTCTACTCTTCATCGATGCCATCTTGTTGAATTGCCTCTCATGCTCAACGTGAATCTTAGTCTTGGTTTTGTTAATATTGACTCTTTCCTTTCTCAGTACATACCAGTAATTAAATGCACTAACCTTCTTAACAAATGTGATCTAAATTAGTTTTAGCACCTATAGGCTATCTTTCCCTATGCTGCTTACTCTTTTTCACTTTGTTCTCTTTGCCATTTGGTTTTCTAGTTTTATTCTTTACAGTCACCTTATTCCTATACTTCAACCTTATTCCCAGACTTCAACCTTACTTTCATACTTCAACCTTATTCCCATACTTCAACCTTATTCCCATACTTCACCCTTATTCTCATACTTCACACTTATTCCCATACTTCAACCTTATTCCCATACTTCACCCTTATTCTCATACTTCACACTTATTCCCATACTTCACCCTTATTCCCATACTTCAACCTTATTTCCATACTTCAACCTTATTCCCATACTTCACCCTTATTCCCATACTTCACCCTTATTCCCATACTTCAACCTTATTCCCATATTTCAACCTTATTCCCACAGTTCAATCTTATTCCCATACTTTAACCTTATTCCTATACCTTGAACCTTGAAGTTATCTTGAAATGTTTCCGGGTCTTAGTGTCCCCGCGGCCCGGTCGTCGACCAGGCCTCCTCGTTGTTGGACTGGTCAACCAGGCTGTTTGACGCGGCTGCTTGCAGCCTGACGTATGAATCACAGCCTGGTTGATCAGGTATCCTTTGGAGGTGCTTATCTAGTTCTCTCTTGAACACTGTGAGAGGTCGGCCAGTTATGCCTCTTATGTGTAGTGGAAGCGTGTTGAACAATCTCGGGCCTCTGATGTTGATAGAGTTCTCTCTCAGAGTACCTGCTGCACCTCTGCTTTTCAACGAGGTATTCTGCACATAATGCCATGCCTTCTGGTCTCATGTGCTGTTATTTCTGTGTGCAGGTTTGGGACCAGCCCCTCTAATATTTTCCACATATAAATTATTATGAATCTCTCCTGCCTGCGCTCAAGAGAATACAGATTTAGGCTCTTTAGCCGATCCCAGTAGTTTAGATGCTTTACTGAGTGGATTCTAGCAGTAAAGGATCTCTGCACGCTGCCCATACTTCAACCTTATTCCCATACTTCAACCTTATTCCCATACTTCAACCTTATTCCCATACTTCAACCTTATTCCCATACTTCAACCTTATTCCCATTCTTCAACCTTATTCCCATACTTCAACTTTATTCCCATTCTTCAACCTTATTCCCATACTTCAACTTTATTCCCATTCTTCAACCTTATTCCCATTCTTCAACCTTATTCCCATTCTTCAACCTTATTCCCATTCTTCAACCTTATTCCCATTCTTCAACCTTATTCCCATACTTCAACTTTATTCCCATTCTTCAACCTTATTCCCATTCTTCAACCTTATTCCCATTCTTCAACCTTATTCCCATTCTTCAACCTTATTCCCATTCTTCAACCTTATTCCCATACTTCAACCTTATTCCCATACTTCAACCTTATTCCCATTCTTCAACCTTATTCCCATTCTTCAACCTTATTCCCATTCTTCAACCTTATTCCCATACTTCAACTTTATTCCCATTCTTCAACCTTATTCCCATTCTTCAACCTTATTCCCATACTTCAACTTTATTCCCATTCTTCAACCTTATTCCCATTCTTCAACCTTATTCCCATACTTCAACTTTATTCCCATTCTTCAACCTTATTCCTATTCTTCAACCTTATTCCTATACTTCAACTGTGTTCCCATTCTTTAACTTTAATCCCATACTTCTGCCCTATTTCCATATTTCACCTCACTTTTGTTTTCTTATATATTGTCTTTCTCCCCCATTCTTTCATTACACGACTTAATAAGAGTCCAAAACTGAGAGAAACACCATCAATTCCTCTATTTTCAGATTTACGGGCTGGGAATCTGAAGATTGAATAACCATACAGAAAGCCATATATTGTCCACATTGAGGTACAAAATTAAATGCTGAGAATGTGCACTCATCAATTATGTTATTAAAGAAATTGAAAATGAAACCAGTGTTGAATGTAATGAATGTCCATCTTCTGGTTGGGCCTCAGTCCTCCCTATAGGTAGCCACACTGAGATAGGTCCACATATGAGTCACATCAGCCTTAGGGGGGTCAATAATAGCTTAACGGAGACCAAAGTCAGAACATGGCCTTCTCACAGAGGTGCAGGAAGCAGATCTAAAGATCACTTCACCAAAGAAATATCTAGAAAGTCAGTGCAGCAAAACAGATAACGGGAGGGTTAACAGAAAATAAAGAAATGAAGCAACAAACAATCCATCCAAAAGTTAGGTCAACCTGCCCCTTGTGTTACAGCAATACAAGCCCGACAGGACCTACAAAATTATTAAATCTCCAAAACCCCAAACCCTGATATCAGCTAAAGACATATTACAAAATGCAGCAAACTGAAAAATTTGAGCATCAAGGACAGACTGCAGGGTGGATAGATTTATTGACATTGGGGATGACCTAAGACAAGCGAACCTTGAAATAGAGGACCATGGCGAGGGTATGATATAAATCATACACCTGGATATGTGTATGGTTGTACAGTGGGCACGTGAATAAAAATTACAAATAAAATTTATTAAACTTTGACAAAAAACGGTTTAGCTTCTTTTCTATTCAATTACCTGAATTTTGAATTTATCAGGAGGTACTACTTCATCTGGATAATTGAGGCTTCACTGTATTCATAGTGGTCTTGGATTCAGTACAGTACAAGTAAAAGAATTTAGAGAGATTACTTTAGGAATGTTCTTCAAAATTAACCGACACATTTACTTTTATTCAGGCTGGCTGCAAAAACTTTTTTCTGACACAGCGTTATGTAAACTAAGAATATGAATGGATGCTTCATTTTTTACAGTAATTCCAGCAATTAGAAATAACATATTTTGCATGAATGTGCATGTCACACAAAAAAATCATCAGTTCAGCTCAGTGTATAACACTTCTAAACAGCCAACTGCAGAACCTAGTCTTTGAATACAAATTCAAAGAAAATGTCAATACACTATCTGAATTTCATCTAACCTTTATCCATTTGATGACCAAAACAGTTACTTAAGCCACTTAGATAAGTGGCAGGCAGATACAGTACTACACTAAAATGTATATGTATTCACTTATTTGTTTAGGAACTCTCCCTACAGAAAAACCTTAGTTACTGCTCTTACCTTTTGTTTCTTTGGAAGCAGTTCTGATTTATCCACTGTACGTCGGCTTGGTTTATTTACCGACTTATGAGCATCAGCCATTGCTCGGAGAATGAGAGCTGTATTGGCTTGTATGGCTCCGGGGCGTCTGGGTCGCGGAATAACCTAAAATACCAAGTTAGACAGAGTTAACATTATACACAATGAAATCAAGATAAGGATAAGGAGTTGGTAGCCTTTGAGTATTTTCAAGATGTCTTCCTTACGCTGTGAAAGCAAAGGCAAAAGTGAAAGCAAAGTTTAAGGGGGAATAATAGCAATTTTATATACACTGGGGGCATAAATAGTAAAAAACCAGCAATGAATGCAATGAAATGCCATTTTCTGGATGAGCCCTGGAGGCTCTTGGAGCTTACCAGGCTGACATGTATGCATTAGACCGTGGCATCAGTCGATTGGCATTCTTACCTACTGGAGACCACGAGCCAAAACCTGGCCCCTTCAGAGAGGTATGAGGAGTAATGGCCTATGGAAACCCCTAAGTATTTGGAAGCATTTCATCTCTGCCATCGACCGGGGTTTGGCACCCAGAAAAGTAGGCATAACAAAGCATACCGCACATGGTAAAAAAAAATTCAATTGCTACCGAAAACCAAACAGAGAAACAGAACTTCCAAAATTTTAAAATTTAAAAGCAAACAAGCAAATGTCACACCCCGCTGTTACCCTTCGCGCCAGCTGCTCCATCATTCAGTTCTCGACTGATGTCTGACTGTGGCAGTCATCAATTCTGGTCTCTGTTTCAGTGCACTTTTGTACCTTGTGGTGTATTTCTGCGATGCGGTGTGCAGGCCAGGAGTAATTGATCAGTACTGGGGCTGCATGCGCTTAGAGGCCTCCTTCTCTAAGCATTCTCTAAGTGCAGCCCTTGCGTTCTGAGGTTACCTTCCACAGGGAGTTCGGGAAATGCGGATGAGCGGTGCGACATCAGGGTGTAACATTTGCTTGTTTGCTTTTAAATTTAAAAATTTTGGGAGTTCTGTTTCTCTGTTCGGTCTTCAGTAGTAATTAATTTTTTTACCATACGGGGTTTGTTTTGTTATGCCAACCTTTCTGGGTGCCAAACCCCGGTCAATGGCAGACATGGAATGCTTCCAAATACATGAGGGTTTCCAAAGGCCATTACTCCTTGTACCTCTAAGTAGGGGCCGGGTTTTGGCTTGTAGTCCCCAGTAGGTAAGAACGCCAATCGACTGATGGCACAGTCTAATACATACATATCAGTCCGGTAAGCTCTGGGAAGCCTCTGGGGCTATCTACACGACATTGATGCAGAGTAGCATTTTGAGTTAATCAAGATTGTTCTGATAGTTATTGACTGCAGAATTGAGGTTTTCTTTGAGGCTTTTCTTGATGATAATGTTGACTTTATTGTGTTAGGAATCCTTTTCTTCTGATCTATGACAATTGAACCACCGTCAGTACTCTGTTGCTGACACATTTGGTGATAACAGGGGTGTTAAAGTAAAGGACAACAGCAATTTGAAGGCCCTCAGGTAAAAAAAAAAAAAAAAAATCCCAGGAAGGAACTTGGGATATCCAATAGAAAATTGCAAATAAGAAAAGTTTTCACAGCTAGAAGGCAAACTCTTTTTACAAGCACAACAAGCATCAAGATGAAATTCTTACCTATGGATTATCCAAATGAGGTTGCAATCCTTTGGCAAGGTCTGGATAACAAGGCTACAAGAATTTCTGACTGCGTAATTCCTTCAGTAAACTTAGGATCATAAATCCAAACATAACCTCTTAAAACACCAGAGTGTATAATACTGTATGATACTTGAAATTATGAATGCATCTCACCTCCACTTTACTTGCCATGCCACTCAGTTGAGGTTTCTTTGGGTCATATTCTTCCTCATCAGAGTCCACCTGCAAAAACAACAAATTACAAAACATAGAAAAGACAACCAAAATCTGCAACTTGTGTGTGTTTTACCTGCACGTAACACAGTAATATGTTAGAATTATGAAGCGAATAAGATAATAAAATAATAAGGTTTAAGATAATGCAATTAACACCTTTAATATAAAGCCTGCTAGCGGAGTATTTCATATGTTTAGTAAACATTTTGCTAATTTTGAATCCCAGCAAGACCTGTGACTCAGATTACCATCCTTGCTGTGTGATAAAAAACTAGCGTTGAATGTAATGAAACGCCATTTTCTGGGTGAGACCCGGAGGCTTCCCAGAGCTATACCAGGCTGATATGCTAATGTCAGACATTGGCATCAGTCATGTGTATGGAGTTCTAGGGCCTACCAGGGACCACGGCCAGAACCTGGCCCCCTCAGAGAGGCAAGGGGAGCAATGGCCAATAGAAACCCCCATGTGGTTGGAAGCATTCTATGTCTGCCATCGACCGGGTCAAGCATCCAGAAAGGTAAGCATTCCAAAACAAACCCCTATTCTGGTTAAAATTACTACCAAAAGCCGAACTAGTGGCTAGAACTCCCCAACAGAAAACAAGCAAACTAGTATGACATCACACGTCACCGCGCCGCTGTCTGCACAGCTCCCCCCCTCCCCGGGAGGGGGAAGGGGGAGCCCCAGACCTCTCATGCCGGCTATCCACCCATCAGTTCTGAGGCTGGATGTCAAAACACACGAAAAACCGCTGACTGGAGAGAGGGAGGGTTGCCGGGGAGCCTCCGGGTCTCACCCAGAAAATGGCATTTCATTACATTCAACATTGGTTTTCTGGGGGGGAGGGGGAGCACCGTCGGCTCCCTGGAGCTAACTACCCACAGAGGAAGGTCAAAGGGACGGAGCCAAGAGGCGGTCACCACGCACCCCTCAACGGAAGCGAGACAACCGGCATCAAACGCCAACCCAAGGCGACACATCCCCGAAAGGGCCTGGGAACAACACGAGACAACAAGCAGCTAGGCCCCTGTACGAACGCCAAAAGATTTGTGCCCGAATGACAGCAAGGACACGCCGCCCAGATGGCAGCAAGAGCAGCGAAGCCACGAACGCCACGGGCATGGGAAAAGAACACAGGCAGGCTACCCGCAATAACACAGCGAACAATCCGGGACACCTTCACCCGCGAATAGGGAAGAACGGAACCAGATCAACTCAAAGCACGCCCAGGACATAGAGGCCGCGGCATGCAAATAACAGCGGAGGGTCGCCACTGAACACAAAACACAACGCACCCCCCCGCCCGACCAACTAAGCACCAACAAACCAAGAACCCCTCTGGAACGCAGCAGCCCCATCCCGTGCCAGAAAAGATGGAGACGACTGCCACCGAACAACCAAAATGCCAAGACCGAAGGAGCAGAAACCCCTGCGGAGGAGAGCAAGAAGCCCAGCGACCCAACTCCCAGAGGAAAATGCCAACAGGAAAAAAGAGCCGTTGAGAAACAAACCTGAACCAAAGGGGCACCACCAACCGAGGAGAAGACAGAGCACGCTGACCAGAGACCAGGACGGTGCAAGGGCGCACGAACAGGCTGGAGGTGAAACAACACACGAGACAGCTTACTAACGATGCAGAAGCAACACCAAGACCGAAAGCAAGCCGAAGCGGCACCGCCAGCACCTCATGAAACGAGGCGACAGTATGTGGCAAGACGACGACCCCCAACCCCCACCAGAAAAACCAAGCCGACGCTAACAACCGCAGCCACCTAAGAAGGGACAGGAGGAAAAGCAAGGACTGCCAAAATACCCCATACTGCCACCAAGAAGAAGCACGCAGGTGGACACCAACAACAGAGCCACCAGACCACTAACCGGAGGCGAGACACACGAGGCAGAATGTAATCAGCCCCGACAAGGCTCACCTGAGCCCAGGAGTAAGTAAGGTCTGAAGATGCAGTACAGTGCCTCTGTCCTGCTGCCCTAGCACAAGATCTTGCCTGCCAATTCCCCGAAGACACTGACTGCTTTAGGGTACTCAAGCTCAAACCTGCCAACTCAAGTTTGTCAATGAATTGACCTTGTCAATGAATTAGACAAGGCCTTTCTCCCTCCAGCCATGAGGCGCAGATTGACTACCAAGGCTGTCAGGCTGCTAAAAGAAAATCTAATTTGGAAATTGATATGGCTAAGTTCTATACTTTTGAGCTCTAGCCCACAACCTGTCAGTTACTGAATAGGCAAACAACCTTAAGAGAGGGTAACAATACTGACATCTTTATCCTGCAAATTTTATAAGCACTATGGTGATATCATCCTTGCAACCAACAATAAGAATACAGGAAGCAAAAGTATTAATTTTCAGAATCAACGAGCACAATCGAGCACCCGGGAAATTTTAACCAAAAGTATTCTTGTATATATATCCCTTTTTTTTCTCTAACCCAAGCAAACACTAGGTGATAAAATGAACAACCAGGGAGAAAAGTTCAGGTCTCATGATGTTCTACCACCAGATGTAGCCAGAACAAGTAACCTCCCCAAAAATTGCCTCAAGCTTAAGAGAACACTTGAGTTTCCAGTGTAGCCTGGGAACAAACACAAAACTATGGTCCTTCAATCTCAGCAGTAGAGGATGAATAGGCTTCAGTGTGACAAGCAGCATGTCGCGTTGCAGTCAAGCCAAATATATGTACTGTACTTCTGTCATACAAAGAATTGCCAGAAACCTCACATGTGACTAAACATTTGCTACTGGAATCAATACTGTATCTCGGGTTCATAAATCTGTTATTCCCAACCTAAAATAAAGAGGTTGGGGTAGATGTCTGGACCCAATGAGCCAGCAAGAACCATGGAAAAATTTCAGATATTACTCAAGAGATAACTACGAGAACAACGTGACTAAGACTCTAATCAAAGAACTGTCCACTGATGGCAACCATCAAAACCAGTACTGTTCTCAACATTAATATATTGCAATAGAAAATTCGGGACATTCAAAAGACTCTTTGTCACACTGGCTAGTAAACTGACCACAGTTACTAGGCTGCCAAATGTCATGCATGTCACTACAATCACCTGACTGGTTAACAGTTACTTAACTTAGCAATTGCTCTCCATTTGCCCAAAGTTTGCACAGCACTGTCAGTTGATATGTTGGGTTGAGGGAAGTGCTGCCACCTGGTGGTGGTGATGTGCAAGGCTAATTATAATTGGCAGGTAAAGTTAATCTAGGGTTTCTACTGACAACCCCCAAGTGTGACATCACTGGAAATTCTAGAAGGCTTGTGCTTGTAAACAGACATTCTCTTTATCAGATTATTCTAGTTGGATGACAGTCTCTAATGACTCCCAAGCACTATATACATATGACCCTGAAGGGACACTGTAGTCTGTGTGGTGCCAGTGCCATCTGTCACTTGCCTGATTAAAATTTGTCACCCATTAGGGTGTGCAGGATATATAATCTCTGGGAGAAGCAGAATGACACCTTAGACAAAAATTGAAAATGAGAAACAATTACCATAAAAATTACACATGAATATTGATTTCGTGAGCTAGATCACAAATTAATGAAATTCCTGTGCATAAACACCTAAGGAAACTGACCATTAACAATATAGTCACAAATTTGTGCCAGTTTTATAAAATATTTTTACAAAATGTATAAGTAATAATTCCTCTACTGTACATTTCTTAAAAATACTTTTGAATAAATATGTCACATGAAAATTTATGTCAGCCTGTGGCTTCCTAACACTATCGCACTCTGTTGCCTCCTCCCCGTAGTCACTCATTTTTCTCCCGATTCTGAGCGAGTGACTATTGCTCGCATCATGTATTAAAATATTTGTAAAAAATTCAATTTTTATCCAATCAACGTCTGGGTGGTTTCAAAATGAGCGCCTTCAGATTGTTCACAATTTGATACCAAAATGAAAGAGGTAACACGAAAATTGATGTCAGAACACTTGAACAATATAAATAATTTTGTGGTGATGAGCGTCCAAAAGTTAAAATATTTATTAAAATTCCATTTATGTTCTATTATTATGGGACTAGTTTTAAAATACGCGTCTTTATATTGCAAACAATTTGATACCAAAATGAAAGACAAAACACGAAAATTAATGTCAGAACACTAAAAAGATATAAATAATTTTGTGGAGATGAACGTCCAAAAGTTAAAATAGTTGTTAAAATTCCATTTATTGTTCTATTATTATGGGACTAGTTTTAAAATACTCGCCTTTATTTTGCGAACAATTTGATACCAAAATGAAACACGTAACACGAAAACTTATGTTATCAAACTGAACGAGTATATACATTAGGCTGCAGGTGTGCCAATTGGTGCTCATTCACGGGTAACTTGGCTGACTTTAGGCTTTGCTGTGGGAAGTCACTTTTAGACCTCATATGCATATACCCCTGTAGAGAATTCTATTGCAAACACAATGATACCAAAACAAACGACGTAGCACAAGAAATAAAGTGAGAAAACTGAAACGAGTATACACATTTTAGTGATTTAGTGCGCTCACGGGTAATTTTGCCAAATTTAGGCTTTGCTGCGGGGAGTCACGGCGGGCTTTTGGACCTTATATGCATATGCCCCTGTAGAGAGTTCTATTGCGAACACAATGATACCAAAACTAACGACATAGCATGAGAATTAAGGTGAGAAAACTGAAACGAGTACACACATTTCGGTGTCACCGCACGCTTGCCCGCACCACCGGGAGCATGATGTCAAAGTTTGTGACGCGCGATAGTGTTAAGTACTGTACACGTACAGTATTTGGCTCACAATAAAAGATCTTGCCATATCTTTGTTACTGAATACATAGTTTCTTAAATTTTTAATACAACTGCCATCATTTCAAAATTATAAACAATTTAATTTTACCTGACTATGTGATCTCTTCAACACAGCTCCAACTGCTGAAACGACACGCCCCGAGACTGAACGGCTCGAGCTCTCTCTGATGGGCTCTTCTCGACCCTGAGCCACACTTCTGGTAGATGATTCCCGACTTGATCCATCATGACTAGATTCAACTTGCTTTGACATGAGAGGTCTTACACGTGCCTAAGATAAAATATGTTTTAACCTTTCATTATTTTTTTTATAAGTGTGCAAGCTCCTGTCATGAATTCTACTCATCAGAGGATGTGCATGTCACAAGCAGCTATCACTAGTGCTCAGATCTATATCCATGATGTGGGAATAAAAATGTTCATGTGTGGAACATTACAAACTAAAGAAACACTAAAGAAAAATCATGAATAATAATACAAATATTAAAAAACCCAGCGTTGAACGTAATGAAACTCCATTTTCTGGGTGAGCCCCGGAGGCTCCCTGAAGCTATTGGGATAATATGCCATTCATTTGATAAGGGCAGTAGTCATAGGAGTTCAGCCTACCGGGGACCATGAGCCAGAACCAAGCCCCCCCCCCCTCAGAGAGAAATAGGGAGCAAAGGCCCTGGAAAACTCCCCCTGGTTGGGGTTTTTCTTTATCTGCCATTGACCAGGGTTAGGCACCCGGAAAGGTAGGTATAACAAAACAGACCCTACATACAGTAGTAAGAAAATTGCAACTGAAAACCGAACAGAGAGGCAGAACTACCTCTAATCCCAAGGAAACGTCACACTCAACCACCGCATTGCTCATCTGCACAGCACCCCCTCCCGGGAGGGGGAGGGGGTGAGCCCCGGACCCTGACCCAGCCAGTCCAGTTCAGAGGGTAAGTATCAAAACAATGCGTAAACTGCTAACCGAAGTGAGGGAGGATACCCAGGAAGCCTCGGGGCTCACCCAGAAAATGGCGTTTCATTACATTTGATGCTGGTTTTCTATGGACAGCCCCTATGGCTCCCTGGAGCTATGTAACCAAAGAGAATTAAAAAAGGGACTTACTCAAGAGGCGGCCGCCACTAGCTCCTCAACTCGAAGGTGAGACAACTGGCTGCAACCTGCGACCCAAAACCACACATGAACGCCCAGGACTAGGAATGTTGACCAAATAACAGGCGGTCAGGACCCTGTTTGACCTCTAAAATCCATGCGCCTGAATATCAGCCCAAGGCATGTTGCTGATGACGGCAGCCAAAGCTACAAACTTCCAAACATTATAGGCACCAGGATAAACCACAGGTTGGTTAGACTTAATAACCCTGCAGACGACCTGGGAGACTCGAGTCCTGGAACAGGGAACGAGGGAAACCGGATCAACCCACAGCGCATCCCCAGCCACAGAAGTCGAAGATGCCCAGATAATGGCAAAGAGCCACAACTGGACACAACACATGATGCACCTCCGACTTGACCAACCAAGCATCAATGACCCAAGGACCCCTCTGGAAAGCAATGGTCTCATTCTTTGTCAGAAAAGAAGGAGAAGGCTGCAACCGAACAAACCGACGACCAGGACTGAAGGAGCATAAACACCAGTACAGTACTGAAGGAGCATAAACACCAGTACTGGAGAAGAGCATGAAGCTCACCAACCTGACCCCCAGAGGCCAATGCCAACAGAAATAGAGCCTTGGAAAAACAATCTCAACCGAAAGGGCCACCACAAACCGAGAAGAGAGATAGAAGAGCACCCTGTTCAAGGACCAGGACAGCTCAGGCGGCACATGAGCAGGCCGGAGGTGAAACAAGGCACGAGAAAGCTTACAGAACATGGCAAAAGTGACATCCACCCCGAACACAAGCTGCAGTGGCTACGCCAGAGCGGTACGATACGAGGCAACAGTATTAGGCATTAAATGACGGTCCTGAAAAAGCCAAGACAGAGAAGACAAAACAACCCCTAAAGAATGCCAGGAAACTTCATACTGCCGCCGAGATGAAGCTCTCAGGTGGGACACTATCAACGATGCCACCTGATCACCATACAAATGGTGATAAACCCACGTCAAAAAGACCAGATGCGAAGAGCTGAGGAGAAGACCAAACCAGCCATGTACTGGATCGGACTGATGTGCTGGACGAAGCGGAGCCACAGAAATTCCAGCTTCCGGTTTGGGAGCCGGAAGCAGGGGTGGTGGGGGTGGGGGTGGGGGCAGGGGTGGTGGGGGGGGGGCAGGGGAAGGGGGGGGGGTGCAGGGTGAACAACAGGGAAAGAACCAGAGAGAGAGCAGACTGAACCTCAGTAGAAGTAACTAACGCCCACATGTCCGGGTTCGTATAACCAAAATGGGGCAGCGCCGGGGCATCTGGATGGGCAATCAACCTAGCGCATTGCAGCAACCTAAACCTAACATACAATTCGGATGCCGCCTGCACCCGAATATCAATGTTATCAGAATGGATAAACTGGAGAACATGCAGAAAACACAACACACAAGACTCCAGGTCAAAGGTGTCATTGACCTAAAAGGTGTCATTGGCACACAGTGACCTTCAAGCTCGCACAAAGCGAGCTGGAACTCGGAAGACGCATCCATAAGTCTACCAAGCCCTGACAGGGCTTTCCAGGATCCGTAGGCTGACTGATATGGGAAGCCCGGGCAAGGTATTATTAAGTGGATAGACCCAAAGCAAAGAAGGTGGGAGATCAAACACTGAAACCCCTACAACATGTACAATCACGGGAGCCTAGCAGAGGGCCACCAAATTATCAGTGTTTACAAGACGGTCGACGGGTGAGGACGTCGTTCCAATACTCTTGTCTCGCCTACACCCTTGCCAGGGTAACACCTCTGCAACATATCACATTCTACACATCTCCCCGCCATGCTGGGTACTGAGATGGAGAATCGATTAACAGAAGAACTGGCTACTCCCCACGGCAATATTCAAATGGCCACAGACTCAGAAAGCAGCCAGTCAGTAGAGGAGAGTAATTTTCAAGAAGTTCTAACCAGGTGACAGAAGAAACGGAGAAGGCAGGATGTGGGGCGTAGTGTTGACAGTGATAGTGTACTTAACGGAAACGACAAGAGAATGAGGAACGACGCTGAGACTGATCAAACCAGTGTCGGCGAAAGGACAAAACGATGTCAGGAAGGTGAAGGTCAGCGGAGGTGGAGGCTTCTCTTCCCTGCCTCATGCACACTGGCCTACCACCGCAAGCTGCTGTGGACAGTCAAACTTGGAAGAGAGCACCGAAAGTTCGAGCCGCTGCTGAAAGAAGGTGTGAACAGACCTTACTTAACGGTAGGTTCTATGGAGTTAGTTGTGTTTCTTACCCAGCAAGGATATGAAGGAATTGTTATGCAAATACCGGAGGAGAACGAGAAGCTGACAAAGGTAATTATCTACAAATACCCTCAGATTCTAGACCCCGAATTCATCCTTGACGAACAACGATTTGTGTGGGCCAAGCGTCACCTTATTAAAGGTGAAGCTAGGAATCAGGTGGTGGTTCTAGTGAGAGGTGACATTCCCGAGAGTGTGTTCATCACTGGGGCTGGCTACAGGCATGTAGCAAAGTATGTAGAAGAGCCCATAATATGCCTGAAATGCTGCAGATGGGGGCATAAATCCTGGAGCTGTCAACATGATCAACAATGTCGTTTCTGTGGAAAGTCTCACCTCTCTAATGTGTGTAGAAACAGACTTAAGCTGGGTGAGAAAATAGTTCCCAAATGCTGCAACTGTGGAGGTGTTCACAATGCCAGCTTGGCTGTGTGTAGCAAGAGGCCGAGTAAGGATATTCCCCGACCAGTGAATGTTACAGAGCAGGCAAGAGCTCTTACCCAGACACCGGGAACACAGCAGAACAGTCTGCCTTAAACAGCGCCAGTGAACCGGACGAATGCGTGGGTAAAGGAGTCACCTTTACTTCGTCAGGTTCAAGCAACAAGCATCCACACCACCACTCAGGACACTGGCAGTGACAATGTAACGGTGAGTGAAGTGGTTACTGGGGCTCAGAAAAAGGGCCCTAATGGTATGGTCAAGGAGGTGTGGGCTGAACTAAGAAAAGTTGGTGAGTTCCTCCGAAATCTTGGGCAGAGAATCGAGTCCATCGAGGCGAAATTAAACGTTCATGTGAAGGTTAAGGAAAGTTACAAAACAGTGAAGGAAAGTCAGGAAATAGTGGTTGAGGACAATAATGCAACAATGAGTGATGAAATGAAGAAAAGTCAAGTGTGTGTAATTGATGGTAGTCGTAGTGAAAAGAAGAACTCTAAAATTAAACATAAAATGAAGGAATCATTTGGGCCAATAATGAACGTCACGGGACTGAAAAAATATCAAGAAACGCAATGTTGCTTTTACCGGTGAAGTTGGGAGGAGGTGGGAGATGTTATACAAGGTATGGCTATCATTTAGTGAACGTATTGGGGATGACTTAGAAAGTGAATTGATTAATAATGGATCACCCTAGACTGAAATGTTGTCATGGAATGTTAATGGTTTAAGAAACAGGGTTACAGATGTTCATTGTTATGTATTCTGAAGAGATATAAGAATTTTGCACCAAGACTAATCTTTTGTTGAAATATCTGCATGTCTCTTGCAAATTGTCTATAAAGTTACTTAAGTCATAAAAAGTATTTGTGTGTATGTCTGATACCATACTACTTGTGTAAAGGAAGAAATATATATGTTTATTTCTCGGAATGTTTGGCAATATGTTTATTGTTTGTGATGTGTGTCTATATACGTTGTACTGAACAGGGTGAGAATAGCATGAGCTACCTCATCCCTTTGTATGTATTTTACCTCAATAAACTTATTTAATTTTCAATTTCAATTTCACCAAATTATATAAGAGGACCAATAGGTCCTTTTATATTTATATAATCCAATAGGTTTTTTTGCTTTACCACACCAGGTAAAGCAAAAAAAAAATATATATACATATATAACCCCGGCAGGAGTACAACATGCCAAGACGAAACAGGAACTGGGCGCTGCACATGTAGCTGGCTGCGCAAGACCTCGATACCCCAACCAGCAACAATGCCAATACCCTACCCAAGGCCATACAAGGGCCCGAAACCCTAGCTAGCCCCAAGGGCTGGGTAAATGCCAAGCAGCAAAAGCCATTATGGAAATGGCTTCCCGAACGCACTAGGGAAGAGAACCCCGACACCCAAGGGTAGTACTCACAGGGCACTTAGGGAAGGCTGCCGTAAGCACATGCAGTCCCAGTACACTTCAGGTACTCCTGACCACCATACCACGAAGATAAAACACTGTAGGAAATCGAGGCCATAAATGACGACTGCCCTGCATTGCAGTAGCCGATGAAGTTGAATGGCTGGGTCGTCGGTGTGGGGGTTCCGGGGCTCCTGAAGGGGGGCTGCACAGACGAGCAACGCATTGGTGGAGTGTGACGTTTGCTTGTTTCCTTGGGAATGGAGGGGAGTTCTGCCTCTCTATTCAGTTTTCGATTGTAATTTTCTTACCTTACTTTCTCTGTTTTGTTATGCCTACCTTTCTGGGTGCCTAACCCCAGTCGATGGCAGATAAAGAAAACCACCCAACCACAGGGAGGTTTTCCAGAGCCACTGCTCCCTGTGCCTCTCTGAGGGGGCTAAGTTCTGGCGCGTGGTCATTGGTAGGCTGAACTCCTATGACTAATGCCGTGGTCTAATGAATTGCATATTAGCCCGATAGCTCCAGGGAGCCAAAGGGGCTCCCACAGAAAGGCATATATGGTACACTATAATTAATGGAATATAAAAAGGTTATAGAAATGTAAACCCTAATTAGTTCCATAAGAAAATACTCTCTTAGTAAAATATTACAACACCCTTAAGCATAGTGCATTACACATACTGTGCTTACAAAAGAGAGATCTCTAGTAACTTAGAAAATCTAATTAATTTTAAAGATGTTACTTAAATTAAAGCTTACACTTGACACTATACATGGATAAATTTTTGGAGATAGGTTCTAATATTGAAGGGACCAGGAAAAATTGCAAGGGACCTTTAACCTGGTGGACAATGAGAGTCTCATAGGTACAAGCCATTAGAGAGTCTCACCAATAATGGCCAGGACTTAAGCTCAGCAGAGTTACAGATGGGAAAGGCCAAACATTCGTAGGTGTCTTGCAACCATTAATCCCTCACTAATCAAGGAATCAAGAATAGTCACCTTAATATATCTACAACACAAGAAACCCAAATTAGAATGCAAGATTGTATGTGAAGTAACAAACTAAGGTGCTGAAGTGACAAATATAACTTATGCAGTACAGTACTGTATTTACAGTACAGTACTGTATTTACAGTACAGTACTGTATTTACAGTACAGTACTGTAAATACAGCCAAGTATTTTGTATGTGCATACTACGACTAAATACTAACCTCTAACTTCTTGCCTGATGAGCTTGACGAAGATGGTAGCACACACACAGATCTATGGGCAGAAGATATTGCACTCGAGACTGCTCGTGCCATATTAATACAGGTCCCACTACTTGATGACTCTGGGCGAGGGGGAAAGCTGGATTCTTCTCGCAAATTAATTACACGTCTTCCACTTGAAGCTGCAGTGCCAAGTCGATCCAGAACAGAAGGCTGAAACATTTTAATAATAGGACAAACTTTCAGATGTTTCAGCTTATATAATCTTAAAATGTACTTCAGTATCAATTGATACGAATTTCAAAATCCTAAAGCAATGATTTCCAACCTCTTTTTTGCTACGACTCTAAAGTGGCCAACAACTGGACCTCACTAACCCTCAGGCTTTTGACAAAATTGAAGTATGAAAATGAAAATGATATCAACATAATCTTGATATTATTCCTCATTTCCATGAGGCGAGTAGATATTAGCTTGAGGAAAAAACCAGCATTGAATGTAATGAAATGCCTTTTTTTGGGTGAGACCCGGAGGTTTCCCAGAGCTATCCAGGCTGATATGCTAATGTCAGACTTTGGCATCAGTCATGTGTATGGAGTTCTGTGGGCCTACCGGAGACCACGAGCCAGAACCTGGCCCCCTCAGAAGAGGCACAAGGAGCAATATCATATAGAAACCCCCGTGTAGTTGGAAGCATTCTATGTCTCCTATTGACCGGGTTAGGCACCCAGAAAGGTAAGCGTCCCAAAACAAACCCCTATTCTGGTGAAAATTGCCACAAAAAGCCGAACTAGTGGATAGAACTCTCCAAAAAGAAACGAGCAAACGAGCATGATGTCACACGATGCCGTGCCGCTGTCTGCATAGCTCCCCCTCCCCGGGAGGGGAAAGGGCAAGCCCCAGACCCTGTGTCGGCCATCCACCCTTCAGTTCTGAGGCTGGACATCAAAACACTTGAAAAACCACCTACCAGGGGGATGGAGGGATGCCGGGGAGCCTCCGGGTCTCACCCAGAAAATGGCATTTCATTACATTCAATGCTGGTTTTCTGGGGGGGGGGGGGGGAGCCCCTTCGGCTCTAACTACCCACAGAGGAAAAGTAGAGGGGCTTACCCGGGAGGCAGTTGCTGCTCACTCCACAACCCGAAGTCGAGACAACTGGCTGCAACCGCTGATCCAAAGTGGCACAGGTCCTGACTAGGCCCAGGAACGTTCACGAGGTAGCGCACATCCAGGACCCTGTTTGACCGCCAAAAACCCCGCGCCCGAATATGCCCAGGATATGTTGCCAAAGATGGCAGCAAACACAGCGAACTAACGAACGTCATGGGCATGTGGATAGACTGCAGGCTGACTAGCCTTAATAACCTTCTTGAGATGTTATCTTGAGATGATTTCGGGGCTTAGCGTCCCCGCGGCCCGGTCCTCGACCAGGCCTCCTTTTTGTTACATACCCCCAGAAAGCAGCCCGTAGCAGCTGTCTAACTCCCAGGTACCTATTTACTGCTAGGTAACAGGTGCATCAGGGTGAAGGAAACTCTGCCCATTTGTTTTTACGGCGGTGTCGGGGGATCGAACCCCGGTCCCTAGGTCCACGAGTTTAGAGCACTGTCCACTCAGCCTTGTGGACAACCTGGGAGACCCGCACCCGCGAACAGGGAAGGAGGGAAACTGGATAAACCCAACGTCCCCGGACACAGAAGCCGTGGTGCGCAAATAACGGCGGAGGGCCACAACCGGACACAAAGGATGATGCACACTTGGCCTGACCAACCAAGCATCAACAACCCAAAGGTCCCTCCAGAATGCAACCATCTCATTCTTCACCAGAAAAGAAGGGGACGGCTGCAGACGAACAAGCCGAGCGCCACGACCAAACAATTCAGGAAACAATCCTGAACCGAAGGGGCCACAACAAACCGAGGAGAAGAGAGAAAGAAAAGCACTCTGTCCAAAGACCAGGACGGCTCAGGAGGCACATGAGCAGGCCAGAGGTGAAACAACGCAGGATACAGCTTGCGAAACGGCACAGAAGTAACATCAATACTGAAAGCAAGCTGAAGAGGCACTGCCAGCACCACATAATACGAGGCGACAGTATTCGGCATAGGATGACGTTCCTGGAACAACCAAAAGAGAAAGGACAGCACCACCCGAACCGAAAGCGAAGCACAATGACGAGGAGTCAGAAAGAAACGGAAGGACTGCCAGGAAACATACTGCCACCGAGACGAAGCCTGCAGGTGGGACACTAACAAGGAAGCCACCTGATCAATATAGAGATGATGATAAACTTGAGTCAAAAATACCATACGCAAAGACGATCGAGGAGAAGATCGAACCTGCCACATGGCGCACCGGTCTGATCTGCTGGAAGAGGCGGAGCCGCGGGAAAACCTTCGGGTTCGGACACCGAGCAAGCAGCGCCTGAAACAACAGCAGGGCCGACCACCACTGTGCCAAGAGGACTACTCTTCCCTGGAAAGTCTCCAAGCGAGTCAGGACCTGGAGCAACAGCTGAACCGGAGGAAAGAGGTACATGAACCCCTACCTCGACCAGTCCGGCTGAAAGGCATCGACCCTGACAGTCTCTCAGTCGGGAAAGGGCGCCACATATAGAGGAAGGCACCGCGACCACGCTACCGCGAAGAGATCCACCTCGGGGTTATCTTGAGATCTTGAGATGATTTCGGGGCTTTTCAGTGTTTCCGCGGCCCGGTCCTCAACCAGGCCTCCACCCCCAGGAAGCAGCCGTGACAGCTGACTAGCACCCAGGTACCTATTTTACTGCTAGGTAACAGGGGCATAGGGTGAAAGAAACTCTGCCCATTGTTTCTCGCCGGCGCCCGGGATCAAACCCGGGACCACAGAATCACAAGTCCAGCGTGCTGTCTGCTCAGCCGACCGGCTCCCCCTAAGTTTTAAAACTGGGAGTGATTTATGCTTAGGAATATGAGTTACTGTATTTGAACATTCAAACATACCTTCTCCCTGGGCTGATCAGACTTAGGAAGCACCACTATTCCCAATCTTTCTTTAGCAGATACTCTGGTAGAAACAGGCTCAAGTTTAGATTTGATCTTCTGTTTAGGCTCTATCCTCGATTCAATTTTCACTTCAGCCTTTGGTTCTACTCGACCTTCTGCCTTGGGAGCTGAAATCTTTTGTCTCTGCTCTATTTTGCTCTTTTTTGGTGCTGGTTCTTCCTCTAATTCAAGACCCAATTCATCTGAAAATTGTTGATAACAGAATGAGAATACTTTAAGATGCTAATAAAAGAATGGAAAATAAAACAGTGATAAACCAAAGATGTACTACACTGTAACTAACCCAAGGCCCACATTTTACAATGAATTACCATACAGTCCTTTCCCAAATAAAGTATTTCTTCACATAACAAACCAACAATTTAAGGTTATTTCAATTGCTTTCATCTATGGTTGCTCCTGCCAGAAGGATTCTTAGGAGAAGAATTAGCCCAGGAATTGATTCATGCACAATATTCTGCTTGTTAATGTCACAATAGGTATTCTGAGATCAAGCAAATAAAATGCTTCTGAGTCGATGAGATATCCGAGTTAATACAAAGTTATTTTAGAGTACAAGTAAATGTTGCAGAGAAATCAAGACTGAAATGAAATGGAACTCTCTTATCTGGGTGGCATTCATTAGCCCTACAGTACACTAAGCTTTGGTACCACAGACATACATACACAAAACTACCAGGTCTCTGAACTTGCATAGTTGGTACCACTGCAATGAATGAAGATAGCCAAAAAGCATTAGACAAGCAGAATGGAAGATAGAAGTATACGCATGAAAAACAAAACACCACACCTCGAGGCCAGAGACATACTGTCCAAAGAGTGCTGGGCACACAGCTAGATGAGCATTAAGACAGAAAGAGCAATGGCAGACAAACTAAAAGACTGCAGCCCACAACAATGGCAGGAAGAAAACCAGGAAGTTTCCCAAAATATGGCATAATACAGAAATCAAGCGTTGAATGTCATGAAACATCCTTTTCTGGTGGGCCCCAGCAGCTCCCCAAGATTTACTATGGTACCATTGAGCCTTAGCCCAAACATAAGACATATGTAATGCATCTGCCACTTACCAGGAGTCAAGACCTTTACCTGACTCGCTCTACAAGACAAGGGGAGGGGAGCAGAGGATCTGAGATTAACTACAAAACTAGAAAAATTAAATTCTGCTGCCAAACACAAAAAAATTTACAAACACTCTTTATCATGACAGGCTTAAGATTGAAGAGATTAAGCCACCCAAGAGGTGGCACAGGCATGAATATCCCGTAAGTGGAGGCTGTTTGGAGCCATTACCAGTACCAGTAGCTGATTTGGTAGATCTATGGATGAAGGGGGTCTTCAAGGTGACAGAAATAAGGCCAGAAGAGAAGTTTTAATAAAAAAACAGAGTTGACTGTAATGAAACAGTAGTTTCTGGGTGAGCCCTGGAGGGTCCCTGGAGCTACTGGATTGATATTAGCCATATTAGTCTGCTCCCCAGGGATTTGGTTCTTTCCCAGCTCGCCGGGTTCGGGTTCCTCGTGAACTGGAGGAAGAGAAATCCCATCTGGTTCCCTCTCAGATTTGGTCTTGGCTGGGTCTTGTGTGGGTCTCTCCATTGCTCCCTGCACCTCTCTGAGGAAGGCAGGTTCTAACCCATGGTTCCAGGTAGGCAGAACTCCATGTGACGGAAGCCCCAGACTAACATAGCTAATATCAATCCGATAGCTCCAGGAAGACAACGGGGCTCCCCACAGTAAGAGAGTAGAACAAGGACACCAGTGATGGAGAGATAGAAAGGTTTAATACTACATGGTTATTGCATAGAAAATATGTTAATGAGATTTTATACTATAAATCATCATTTACTGTGTTTACTACTCACCAATGTCTGCCCTAAGAACTAACATGTCTTCTATATCTTCCTCTTCATCAACAATTAACTGTTCTCCACCCCCTGCAGCTTCAGCTCGAAATATGTCAGCACAGGATACTTTCCCCCTAACCTGGGACTTCAGTTTTCTTGACATTTTGTCTGTATGTACGGAAGTTTCTGGTGCAGTAGCCAGTGGTGTCTTCTCTGTAGAAACTGCATTTTGTTTAACAGATGATATTTTTATCTTCTCTCTGCTTTCCTTTTCTTTAACTGGCTCTTTTGACTTTGATAGTTTAACCGGTGCGACAATAACTTTTTTCTCCTTGGATGATTTATCTTGAGAAACAGGAGAGTCAGGCTTTCTAAGTTTTTTGTCTTTCCTTTCAACTTTTCTCTCACTAGATTTCCTTTTTCTATCTGCTTTTTCTTTTTCTTTTGCTTTCCTTTTTTCTTCGTCCCTCATTTTTTTCATTTCTTCTGCCTTTTCCCGTTTCTTTTCTTCATCCCGTTCTCTCTTCTTTTCTTCTTCTCTATCTCTTCTTTTATCCTCTTCTGCATCCTTCTTCTTTGGTTCTTCTTGTTGTGTAGTTGTAACTATGAAGAGAGAAACAGTAATACAGAATACAGTTTAGTGAAAATTGTAGCCTTAATAAGATAAACCTCATAAATTAAATAGAAAAGGATAAAATCTTTCCAAAAGAAGGAATCAATTACAAAAATAAACCAAAGTCTTCCCTCAGGTATGTAGTATCTTCTTACTGTACCAGTGATGCACACTGGGAGTGGTGACCTATTACCATAGAAAGAAAGATATAGATAATCAACTGCTCTGGGAAGGAAGAAACCCCAACACATATCACACATGTTCAGAGATTAGTTCACTATGGGCTCACCATGGCCCGTGCTACTTGGAACTTTTTGTTAGAAGTAGCAAATCTTAAACAACAACAACAATGTTCAGAGGCTGGGAAGTGGGAGAAAATGGCGATGATAGTGACTCATATACAGTTGCATTCTCTTGGTCAATGTTCCATAGACCAGCGGTCGCCAACCTTTCGGACCTCACAGGCCACTAAATTCATAATTTTATATCTCGAGGACCACTAATATGATTTTTTTTAAAGATAAATACATTTGTAAAATAATGATAAAAAATCATTCATTTTATTAATATGAAATGCATCTATTTAATATAACAAAATTATAAATGCTTATTTAATTATAACAAAATTATAATTGTTCATTTAATCTTAACAAAATCTTTAAAGGTTGTTTAATTTGTAAGAAAATTATTAAAGTTAGTTTAATTATTACTGAATAACTGAAGATTATTTAAATTTTACACATTTTTAGAGTGGTATTTGTTCCTGCTTGTTTGAAAGAAGTTTATGGATTTTTGGCTCCGATGACGTTACTGCAAAACAGAGAGCTGTATTTATTTCAAGCCGAGACCGGTACTGAGTTTTAATTGCTATAACAGATGAAAATGTCTTTTTGCACAAATATGTTGTTGAAAATTTAATACAAATTTTCATTGTTTTTTCACTCAGGAATGGGTATTCACTTTGATCAGTGAATATATTGATCAGCTCACATATTGACCAACTTACGGTTAAGTGAAGTAGAGTACACAAATACTACTGTATTGTTATTATAATCAACATTAGTTACATTATCTTTTGTAGTACTAAAGAAATGCAAAATATTCCTTTTGAATAAAGAAATGCAAAATTTTGCCACTCGTTATAGGTTTATTGCATTCGAATCTGAAACCAACAAGAAATGATAGTTATTAAAGTCAAACTATTTGATACCATTATATATAACAGTTAAAGAAAATACAGTACACAGTTACATACAATTTTTCCGGATTGGCCAGTACAACAAAGACAAAAAGAGATTGATCAAGGTAGTATTCAGGATCAAGTCCATCAAAGAGGAAAGAAGTGCAAACTGAAAAATGCAAGGAATTACAAAGAGGTATACCTTCAGAGGGACATGACCAGGGACGAGATAATAAGGGCAGCAGATGCAAGGAAAAGGTGCAGGGAGAGGGAAGGAAGTCAGGGAACCTTAGCCTCCAACCCAGCAATCCCAGAGGGAAGTGGGGAACCCCAATCCAGCAATTCAGGAACCCCAGAGGTGACTACAACACTCCAGCCCACCACCCCATACGGCCCCCTCCCACCCCCAGCACAAATCCTTCCTTGCCCCTGCACAATGCCCACCGTATCACCCAAATCCTCCCCCCCCCCCCTTACCCCGAGTAACCCCTGCTTTCCCATCCCCTGGTCTTCTTCCTGCCCCAGACAGGTCCAGGCAAGACCTAAGCCCCCCCCCATCCCCCCACTCCATCTCCCTCAAACCCCTTGTTAACTACACCACAGGAGGACGTGCCCTCTTCCCGAGCAATCCCTGCCCCAACCTCAAGCACTCCCAGTCCCCCTCACTCCCAGGACTTCTTCCTGTCCCAAGCAGGCCTGAGCAAGACCTATGCTCTGCATCCCCCACTCCACCTTCCCCTGTACCCCTGGCAACTACCTCACAGGAGGATGACCCTACCCAAGTAGCAATGCTCATGGAACATCTTCCTACACTTGTGGGGAGGGTGGGTGAAAATAGATACTGTATAGGAAAGTGAGCTTCTAGGTAATGTACTCTAACATGGATGGGATTATCAATAAAGCAAGTGCCAGTGACGATACTACCTCCTACCCAAGGGAAAACAGGAGTACGAACCACCCCAGTTGAACCCCCAAGGGCGGGCAATCACCGAGCAGCAACAGACCCACATGGAGGTAGTTCTCGAACGGCTCAGGGAAAATAACCCTGAAGCCGCAAGGGCAGTACTTACAGGGCACGTAAGGAAAGCGGCCCTAGGTGTATGCAGCACCAGTACTCTTGTGTTACTCCTGGCTCGCACGATAGCAAAACTGAACAACACCGCACTGCAGCACTGCTAAAAGGATGGAGCCAGAATCGATCAACCATTCGCCCTCACAACAGCCTGTGAACTGAGGAGAATTGCCAGCATGGAGGTCTGGGACCCCCACCCCGTCCCTCTCCCGGGGAGGAAGGGTGGGGGTTGTGCAGACGGATGCGCAGCGTTTGTGGTGACGTTATAGTTGTTTCCTTGGTTTTGATTGGGGAGTTCTAGTGCTAGTTCAGCTTTCGGCTTGCAATTTATTTGATCAGCAGTAGTTTGTTTTGGAATTCCTAACTTTCTGGGTGCCAGACCTGGTAGATGGCAAAGGCTGCTTCCAATTACATGGGGGTGTCTTTAGGCCATTGCTCCTCATGCCTCTCTTGAGGGGGGCCAGGTTCTGGCTCTGGTCCCTGGTAGGCCTAGAACTCCTTCGATTGACTGTTGCCATGGTCTAATATATACACATCAGCCCAGTATAGCTCCGGGGAGCTGAAAGGGCTCTCCACAGAAAATGGACGTAATTTGAAATGAAATCGGCTCATGAAAGTGATGTATTATCCCGTTTTCTGTTTGAATTGTCTGGCTTACTCGGTTAGGTTAGGAGAGGAAACTTTCAACTAACGTTTTTCATGACGTTTTGAAACTTTAGGACAATTTCCTGCCCTCCTACCCTACTAAAGGCCTCTTAACACTTTCGCCCGGGCATGACGCAGCATTGCGTCATCCGTTTACTGTCGGTAATGCCGGGGATGACGCAGCATTGCGTCATCCACTTTAAATAATCGCCAAAAATCAGGTTTTTATCCGATTTTTTGGGGACTGGTTTTAAAATGCGCGCCGATGTCTTCCCATTTTCTTTGCTGAGCCTTGTGGCCCTCAGGCGGCTTGGCACACGCCGTGGGCCCATTGTTTTCGCTCCACTGTTTGTGACCAATGTCGCCTCCACTCGCATCTCAAACGTGTGAACATTTCGGCTATTTTCCGTGGCAATATTTCTTACTGCGGCTTTAGAAACTATCTACGCTTACTCCACGATGGATAGTGATCATGAACAAGGCCCTTCCAGGAAGAAAATTGCAAAAGAAAGGCTTGAAAAGGGCAGGAATTGGGAGTGTAGCTGGAAGGCGTCTGAGCGCTCACTTGCTGCTAACGCGTGGCCCGTCTTCAACTCGTCGGCGGTTGGAGCGTGACCAGGTTTTTAAATTTATATGCTAATGTTCCTCTAGATAATTCTATTGCGAACCCTTTGAGACCAAAATGAAAGACCTAGGACGAAAATTGAGGTGACCACACTGAAAATAGTGAAAACATTTTATCGCGCTTGCGCGCTCCTGGGTAACTTGTTCGCACTTTCTCTGTTTGCTGCGGGTAATTAGCCGGGCTTTTGGAGTTTATATGCATTTAGTGCTGTAGAGAATTCTATTGCGAACACAATGATACAAAATTTAATCTCGTAGGACGAGAATTAAGGTGACAAAGTTGAAGAGAGTATACACTTTTCAGAATTTACGCGCGCTCCCGTGACACCCTGGGTCCCATATTGCACAGTTGAAGGGTGGCGCGCGGGGTACGCCAAAGTGTTAACAGGCAAATTACCAAATTCAGACGTAATTTGTAATAAGAGGACAGGTTAGATCATCCCTAAGCGGGAGACACTGGCAAACTGAAGAGCACCATGTGCTTGGTCGGCCCATAGGTGTATCAACAAACTCAAGCACCAAAGCAAACTTCGAGTCCAGAGTCAAATTTTTCTAAGAAATTGAGCTTGAGAACTGAAAAATTTGAAAACAGGGGCATTCAAAAATCAAGGTTCCAATGTATACTGTATTCTATATTTTGGTAGCATAAACCATCAGCATATCAATGTACTACCTACTAAAGACCCTGCTGGAGGATTGAAAAGTAACCATTAAATTTTATTGGAGCTGGAAGCTTGAAAAGAAAATTGAAAAGTACAGTACAGTGCCGTTAAGTCGGAGATTATAGCGAACAATAACACAAGACCCTTTTAGTCTCTTATTGCAAATAAAGAATAAAAATACAATAATTTTTACCTTGTAAAAGTGCAGCAGCATTCAACTTCTGCAATACATGGTGAAGCCAGGAGGTGAAGCGCTCTGTATTGTGGCCCAAGAAAAGACTTAAATCATCATCCATCTGGTCTTTTGTCTTCTTGTTTGCAACCAGCACCATGATGTAGTCTGGTAATTCTTCATCTACAAAGAGGTAAAAGGAATTCATCAACTTTTCAATTATCATAATTTTCATGAGAAAATTTATTGATCTTCTCTTATTTTGTTAATTAATATAACAAATTAAAACAATATGCATGCATTACCATATTTATTATTTTATTATGTATAGACTCCAAAAAAGTCCAGCACACAGTACTTACGAAAAACCAAAAGTAAGGGCCAGATTTGAAAAAAAAATTAGCACTGAATAATGAAACTTTCTAGTAGCCCTCAATAGCTATATACAGTAGTATAGTACACACACTTAAGGATGGTGCCAGGCCTCTTATGACACTGACTAAAATCAATCAGGCACAATCAGAGAACACTGTATAAACATCAGAGGTCTACGGCTGCTCAACGTCCTCCCAGCGACTATAAGAAATATTGCTGGAACAACCGTGGACGTTTTCAGGGGCAAACTAGACTGTTTTCTAAAAAACGTGCCGGACCAACCGGGCTGTGGTGGGTATGTGTGCCTGCGGGCCGCTCTAAGCAACAGCCTAGTGGACCAAACTCTCACAAGTTAAGCCTGGCCTCAGGCCGGGCATGGGGAGTAGAAGAACTCCCAGAACCCCATCAAGCAGGTATCAAGCAGGTAATGGGTTTGAGAGTAAATAATATTGGTATTTTTTACATTCTTGCAAAGCCACTAACATGCGCAGCATTTTGGGCAGGTCCTTAATCAAACAGATCAGGTAAGATGAATAGGAACATTGTAACAAAATTTGATATCAACATATAACTACAATATAAATTAACAAAAGTGATAACTCTGCTGAAATTACAGTGAAATAGCCTCAATAAATAAAAGAAAAATAATCTAACGATAAAAAGATGAGGAGGCAAAAGATGATGAACAAAAAACTCATTAGTGCAGTATCTTAAGTAGCTTCATATCCAACACATTTCTTTTTGTTAACTGCACTTTTCTACATAAGAAGTAAGTTGGATGTGGGGCAACTCATCACAAACTGATTTATTCATGACAAAGAAAGGAATGTACAGAGATGCCACAATTGACATGCTTGGATCAAATATATCAAGACTCATTGAGCAATAAACTGGAATACTATACCTATTTGTGTAAGACAGACTGATTACTTACCCACATACGTTCCAAGTTCCACCAGTTTTGCCTTTATGGCAGACTGAAAATAGATAAATACAATTAAATGTAGGATTTTCTTTATCACAGTAAACACATCCTGCAACAACACCACCATTTCAATAATTGTTAAACTTGTCCTAACAGATAACTTACAAATGCTGATATTGTAGGCTTAATTAATATTCATGGACATTTTGAGTTTATGTCTTACATTTATTTAACCTGTGGATGGTTTTTTAGTTTGCAAGGCTCTCCTCTACCGTTTGGTACTGTTTGCGAGGCTCTCCTCTGAACTATAGTACATCTTGAGGTTATCTTGAGATGATTTCGGGGCTTTAGTGTCCCCGCAGCCCGGTCGTCGATCAGGCCTCCCCCCCTAGGAAGCAGCCCGTGACAGCTGACTAACACCCAGGTACCTATTTTACTGCTAGGTAACAGGTGTTTCTCGCCGGCGCCTGGGTTCGAACCCGGGACCACAGGATCGCAAGTCCAGTGTGCTGACCGCTCGGCCGACCGAGTGGTACAGTACCAGTACAGGTACTGTACTTGCATACAAGGTAACATAATCAAGTACAGTATATGCTAATATAACTTTGTAGAGAAACACTACAAAAGAAGCTATTTGTGCAATACATTTTTGTAAAAAGGTTTCTTGCATTGCACTGGAATTTACAAGAAAGACCTTATTCACATTTGCTTTCAACAAAATAGGTCAAAATGAAGCAGAGTAATATACAGTAGTTATTTTCTTTTTCTTTGGGCTTTTACAATTTGTAGCCAGCAGTCTTCTGAAAGTGAGTGCCAATACACTACTGAGTCCTTCCTAAGACTACTCTTCATTAGGTAATACATAAATCAAGCACAAATGATGATTAATAGCACAGTACTAACAAATCAAAACCAGTGCAATGGCTCACCTTCCTAACAAGACAATAGTAACGAACATAACTGACACTTGCAATTTTATATACATATATGTATATAAAGGTTTATATACGATTGTGAGTGTCTTGCCACTTCGCCACGGGGACTGTGGCAAGTCAATAGGACTAAGTCAATACTGTATAAACATCAACTTCAGTACTGTACAAGTTCAATGGCTCGGGTGTACACTCTGCTTTGTAATAACTGTGACAAAGTATGCATTAGTGAGACATCCCTATACTTTGCATCAATGATTTATGAACATAAGTGTGCCTTCTGAATTAATAATAGAGACAATGCTTGTCACACACATGAAGCAGGAGCAATTCTTTATGAACTTCAGAGACAACAAACTTATCATCAAACAGTATTAGAAAACAGCAGTACATACACCATCACACGGAATAAAGGCAAATTTAACACTACTAAGGTAGCAAGTAAGATAGCACTTAAAAAAATATAAATTATAACACATGAACCATCATGTCACTGACTTCAATGCTTTTTTCCCCTCCAGTAATAGGGGAAGATATTAATCCACACCACTAATTTAAACAAAAATAAAAAGGTCAAATGTACCACATACAAGGGGTAAGAGCTACAAACTCATCAAGCCACAATGTAGGACAGAAAACAAGAGATGCTTCTTCTCCCATAGAGTAAAACCCCTATGGTCTTACTGCCACCACCTGCTCCGTTCAACCAAACCTCTGCTTCCCTTCCTGTGAGGGAATCTTCAGTCCATGTCATGAGTGATACGGATTGACACCCATACATGTCAGCTCATTTAGGATCACAATTCCTTGTGCATTAGCGAAGTTTCCTTTCATGTCAGCAATTACAGAGTACCTAGCTGTGTCATTAGTTAATTAACTATATAATTCACTGTGCATCTGTTCACCTAGCAGTAAACAGGTGCCCAAGAGTTAGGCAGCTGTTGTGGGCCTTACAACCTGGAGGAGGTGAGGAGTTCCACCTTGTGGGCACCCACGATATAAACCTACCATGTAAATATACACAAGCTGCCTGTCCCCAGCAAAATTAATTAATTATATGGTTTCTAGGATTAGAAGCAGAGTTTTTGTCGAAAGGCCGGTGTACGATTTGATTATCCATTTTTATTGCAAATTCTTTGAAGACTTGGCATACTTGGCAATGACATATAATGGTCAAGTGGTTCACACCACCAACACGACCGTGGATCTCTTAATTAAGCCGTCTATACCACACTCTGCCCCAGACATTTTTTTTCCAACTCTCACTCCAGTGTCATCAACTTTCAAAGGGAGACTTTCACAAGTTTCTAACACACCACACGTCTGAAAATGTGTTAATACTCACCCTTATTTTAAGGCTGACTTCAGAGCCCACGCCTTCCATGGTAAAAATATATAACTTTGCAGCATTAAACTACTCAACGTAAACATCCGTCCGTCATCATTTCCTAGACATCAGCAGGAGAAACAGATGACGTCACGCAAGTATTGGCATTTGTTCTAACATTTTCCTGCTGTGTTCGTTATGCAATAATATACAATACAGAAATAGAGATGTATGTATATAAGTGGTCACCTAAAACAATTAAAAGAAGAAATACATTTTATGGCCTCGGATAAAAGAAAATGTACAGACCATCTATATATCACCAGTTGACACTCAGGAAATTGTATAGTTTTATGTTTTCTCCTACACTTTTTTTTTTTAGGGCGCATCCGACCCCTGGATCCTCGTCGTCGCTCCTCAATCAGCAAAAACAACAAATTTTTTGCATAAATCTTAAACCCGCTTTCGTTTTTTCTCATAGATTTAATTTTTTTAACAAGCTTAGATAAACAGCCCCATAAAATGTTGATGCATAAGCTGGAGAAACAGTTAGTTTAGTTCATTTATTATGCACCCCATACCCATCTTGTGGGCGATAGGGGAAAGGGTTACAGAGGCACATAATGGGCTCAGGGACTGAACCCCACAATTCATTTAGCTAAGCAAGTTACAATCTTGATGAGCTAGTTACACAATTCAACATAAGTCGTCACATCAACAATGGGTTCGACAGGCAGGAGTAACTGGTAGGGCGCTCCAGTGGATAACGAAGTACCTAAGCAATAAGAAGCAGAGAGTTACAGTGAGGGATGAGACCTCAGATTGGCGTGAAGTCACCAGTGGAGTCCCACAGGGCTCTGTACTGGGACCTATCCTGTTCCTGATATACGTAAGTGATCTCCCAGAGGGCATAGACTCATTCCTCTCAATGTTGGCTGACGACGCCAAAATTATGAGAAGGATTAAGACAGAGGAGGACAGCTTGAGGCTTCAAGAAGACCTGGACAAGCTGCAGGAATGGTCGAACAAATGGTTGTTAGACCCAAGCAAATGCAATGTTATGAAGACAGGTTATAGGGAGCAGGAGACCAGATACAAGGTATCATTTGGGAGATAAAGTACTTCAAGAGTCTAAGAGAGAAAGACCTGGGGGTTGATATCACGCCAGATCTGTCCCTGAAGCTCAGATCAAGAGGATAACATCAGCGGCATATGCCAGGTCGGCTAACATAAGAACGACCTTTAGAAACTTGTGTAAGGAATCTTTCAGAACTTTGTATACCATATAACAAACTCTGCTTTCAGACAACACTCCGCTCATGAACAAATCCACAAGATTCACAAAATTCAAACCGTGCTCTGAAACTCTCCCTGGACAGATGTGATAGGACCCATTATCACCACACCAGAAATAAATATCTCTTTGATATCCTCAGGGTCAAGCTTAATCTGTGTAAACATTCTACGCAAATCAAGGGACCTTGTAAATCAATGAAAATTCTATAATAATCATTTTCATTAGCTAGACATTTAATAATACAATCAGAGGTACTTTTTCCTTTGAGGAACCCAAACAAATTACTAGACAGCTGATCACCTATTATATATAAAAGTCTATTTAAAATGATCCTCTCCATCATTTTACAAAAACACGAGGTTAAAGACACAGGTTTATACTCTCCATTGGCTTTAGGGATAGGGATGATCATAGCTTTTTTCCATTTTCTGGGAATACTGCCCTCTTTATAACTAATATTAAAGAGGTCTAACAGTGGGCTTTTCGTCATAATGGCAAGTTCATTAAGTATTTCATAAGTTACTCCATCCTCCCCAGGGGCGGTAGATTTCCCAACTTTAATCGCCGTTATTAGTTCTTCTCTGGTAATACCTGTGCAAGTGACATCACCACTGTTACCTGCTATAAGTATAAAATCCTTTCTTAGATCTTTCCAAGAATCTAATGACTCTCTCGTTACAGCGGGTAATGAACTAAGTTTGGCAGCTTCCGCCCATTTATTTACGAGCCCATTCGCAATTCCTTGGGGGTCTGGAGCTTTTGATAAAGCCAACAAAGAGGTTATTTTATATGAATTAGCTAGTCTTGGTGTTAAAGGGAAATTATTGCGCTGGATAGGGGATTATCTTTACGAAAGGAAGGCTCAGCAGTGGTATCAAGGTTGCATGTCAGGTGTGAGGTCTTTTGAACTCGGCACACCTCAGGGAGGAGTGTTGAGTCCCACCCTGTTTAATGTACTAATGAATAAGATAGCATCTGAGAGATACTCAAATGGGGTAACTGTAGCCTCTGTTCACCCAGCAGTGAATGGGTACCTGGTTGTTAAACGATTCGGCGGGGTCGTATTCCGGGGAAATTAGGGTTAAGGACCTGCCCGAAACGCTACGCGTACTAATGGCTTTACAAGAATGTAAATGTAAAAAAAAAGGAAGATTGACAGCGAGAAAGCAGTTGACGAAGAGCATACAAATAGCATAATATTCGGCCGTGAAGATTCTAGTCTATGGAGGAAGGCGACACATATAAGTGTGGTTAAGAAAAACAACAGACTAGCCTACACCGTCAGCAGACTTGGACCCATCTGTGAAGAAAAGTGTGGAAGGAAAAGGCGTTTCAGAACTGTAGAAGTAAAAGATTTAGTCACGTGGGTTAAGGTTTTACGAAACTTAGGAAGGAGGACCCTCCATGTGGGCAGGGATGGAACGACACGAGAACCTCGTATTGGTAACATGTGCCAAAAGATAACTTTGCAAACGAAACAACTATACAGAGATAGGTAGGACGTGAAAGAAAACAGGGACCACAGGAGGGGTAAAGGTCAAAGAACGGCATAAGCGAGAGTAAGGGTGTTGTAGGGACCGTGCAATGTAGCGAAGACAGTAGCGATCCTGTAGAGACAGGATGCCTGTTTCAACAAACAGGCTTAAGGTAGGAGTTGAACGGAATTGACACCAGAGCTAAGGCGTAACCAAGTATGGTGCAGAGCATCAAGACGGCAAAGAGTAGGAGAAGCCGACGAGTAAACAGAATAACCATAATCAAGTTTACACAGCACGAGAGAGGAATGTAAAAAAGAGAGAAGCGTGCGTCTCTCAGCTCCCCAGGAAGTATGGGACGAGACCTTAAGTAAGTTAAGGGCCACTTTCGCTCTCTAGCGACTGAACTTCAAGTAAAAAAAATAAAAAAAATAAAATGTTTATTTAGGTAAGGTACATACATACAATAAATTTTTACAAAGAATGGTTGACTTATAGGTAGAGCTAGTAGAAAAGTAGACATCGTAGTCTAGCTAGACAAAGTAGACTAGCTAGTAGCTAGTAGACATCGAAAAGACTTACTACATCTTATTTGGAAGCAAATCATCAAATGCAATTCAGCTACAGATAGACAACATTAACATCAGTAATAAAAATGATGGCAAGTTTCTTGGCCTATTCCTAGACAAGAGACTCAACTTCAGCACCCACATTCAACACATAACTAAGAAAGTCTCTAAAACAGTTGGTATACTCTCTAAAATAAGATATTATGTTCCTAACTCTGCTCTCCTCTCACTATATTATGCACTAATCTACCCCTATCTTAATTATGGTATCTGTGCATGGGGGTCTACCACTGCAAACCACCTTAAGCCCATCATCACACAGCAAAAATCTGCTATCAGAATGATAACTAACTCTGCTTTCAGACAACACTCAGCTCCCTTGTTTAAATCCCTAAACTTGCTAAATATTAACTCCCTCCACACATTCTCTTGTGTCAACTACATTTACAAAACCCTGTTCTTAAATGCAAACCATGCTCTGAAACTCTCCCTGGACAGATGTAATAGGACCCATTATCACCACACCAGAAATAAATATCTCTTTGATATCCCCAGGGTCAAACTTAATCTGTGTAAACACTCTATGCAAATTAAGGGACCTAGTCTATGGAACTCACTCCCTAGTGAATTGAAAAACTGTAAAACTTTTGCCTTATTTAAAAGCAAAACCAAAAAGTACCTAACTTCATTTTCTTAGTTTCCTACACTGAGCTTTAAATTTGCTCTGTACCTAGTGTTACCCAATCTCCTAATTTTTATGTAATATCAAACAACCTTATCATTGTGTTCATTGCTGTCTTCTTTTATGTGCTAGCCATATGCTGTATTGTGACTACCAATTTTTGTCAACTACCATTCAAGCTGTCATTGCAACCAATCTTATATTGTTTCTGCTGTATTGTGCCTACCAATTTTTTTTGTCAACTACCATTCAAGCTGTCATTGCAATCAATCTTAGCTACCTATGTGCTTTAATATACTGTACCTACAATTTTCTCTCATCTTTTTTTCATTTCATGTAATCTGTTATCATTTTTTGTCTATAATTTTTGCAAGTATTTACCTCCTTAAAATTTTCTTAGATTAAGGACCTGCCCGAAACTCTGCGCGTGCTAGTGGCTTTACAAGACTGTAATTACCATATTTGTATCCTCACATTCCTTATGTACATTCTTGTATATGCATAAATAAATAAATAAATAAATAGTACATACAATGCCTAAAGCCACTATTACGCAAAGCATTTCGGGCATGATAAAGTCGTTCATTTTTCTCCTGATTTTGAGCGAGCGGCTGTCCGTTGCGTTGCTTAATAAAATATTTGTAAAAAAAGTTATTTTTTTAGATATATACAAGAGTTGTTACATTCTTGTACAGCCACTAGTACGCGTAGCGTCTCGGGTAGGTCCCTGGAATACGATCCCCTGCCGCGAAGAATCGTTTTTTCATCCAAGTACACATTTTACTGTTGAGTTAAACAGAGGCTACAGTTAAGGAATTGCGCCCAGTAAATACTCCCCGACCAGGATACGAACCCATGACATAGAGCTCGCGGAACGCCAGGCGAGTGCCTTACCACTACACCACGGAGACTGTTAATTTATTATCCGATCAACTTCTTTTTTATCTCAAAATGAGCGCCTTTAGATTCCGTACAATTTAGCACTTTCGCCCCCATATTTCGCTTGAGCACGACATATTTTTTTATCCTGAATGCACCCCAAGCGGCATTTGAAAAAATATTTCTATAAAATCCAATTCTTATCCGATCGACTTGGGGATAGTATAAACATGCTTGCTCTTAAATTTTCGT